ATTGGAAAGTGAAAAACAACTTAATAACAAGTACGATTGAAAAATCGAACGTTTTTCAAATTATTAACAAAATGATTAGGGGTAAACTAATTGAACCCCAGATAACAGACAGTTCTGGGCCGATTCTGGCTTACCTCCACGAGTGCTGGTTGACTTCTGGATAGATATTAGGCATGCAGGCCACAACTGGGCTAGATGCTGGACAGTAGTGTATGATTTTGACTCATATCTACATTTAAGGGCCATTTCCGGCATGAATGTTGTGGCCTAACAATGGATGAAGGAAGAGGGTCACAGCACAATTAAGTTGCAGCAGATTTGTGCTCGGTTGAGTTACACCTCATTACTTTTGGCCCAAGTCTAGCATGTCATAAGAGGCCCAGGCTACACTGCAGTTTTCCACACGACAGCTAACCCATCGTTTGTAAGGCATTGAAAGTCTACTCTCCCGCTCAGACTGGGCGAGGACAGCACAGCATATCCCCCACTCAAATTAGGAGACGTCATATGACATGCTTTTCAAAACCTATAAATTTGTCTCTGTGTTTGGGAGAAGCAGTGGGTTTTTACATTTGGTAGGCGTATTTCATAAGTCATGGAAATTCATCTTCTTAAGATATGCTTTTTATTTTTCACTGTAAATAATGAGAAATACTCAATAGTGAATGTTTATCTAAATGCTTCCACTTGTGAGTTGTGGAAACATTTTACATTATATTCATTCAGCCCTGCCCTCGCACCGGTTCTAGTGGCTGTCATCAGGGCCCAAACCCCAAACACTGCTGAGGGACGCAAATGACGACGGGAGGAGAAGGGCAACCACCAGAGACTGGACGACAACAATGGCCACAAGAGGCATGAAGGTGGTACACAAGTCCCGAACTCCAACACGCCTCCTGTTCCGTGGGTCTTCTTCCTTACTCAATGTTTGGGCCCGGCCTTCCTGCTGGCTCTCGTGGTTGTTATCGGGACCTGGGGGACTGGCGCATGCCACGATGGTTCATAAATGTTTTTCATTTGTAGTTGTAGAAACATTATTCTAAACGTTTCCATAACATTAGTTGTTGTCTAACTGTGCAGGCTGTGTGAGCAACATTTTAATAACATTTTGATGCAAACCATTACTACAACACACATTTTCAAAATGTTTCAGGAACATTATTTCTGTGATGTTACAGTTTAACCTACTTGGAACCTTTTAAAAATGTTCTTTGTTATTTGGGGAGAGGCCGTGCACTACTGAGATTGTATCACAGGGAAGGGTGTTATTAGGCACGACACAAAGCTGAGTAAAACCATAGACTGTATAAAAGAGTGGACAGTATGGCTATGTCCAAAATGGTCATCTTCCATACTACATAGTACGCCATAGCAGTACATGAGAATAGTTAGCAAAAGTAATCACCACTCTTTCATTGCACAGGTGTGTTCTTTATTTAGGGTTCAGGTTAGAAATGATGAAACAAACTGAGAAAAAAAGTCAAATTAACAGACTGAAGAACAGAAGGTGCCCATTTGATGGAATTGGGAGATGGTTGGTGGTCTTACTGCTGCCAGTGCTGGTGTCCTAAATAAATACATACATAAATGTTTATAAGATATCAATTAAAACAACACATATAAAACTAAAATAAATCTAAAGAAAAAACATTTTGTGTTGAGTCTACTGGTGCACTAAAATGGTTGTGTACTAAGTTGTGCGTACTTGTGTTCTAGAATGGCCAAGTTGTACATACCTGTGATGTAGAACTCTTTTCTTGCACAGGTGCGTTCTTAATAAAGGTTCAGTTTAGAAAGGATGTAATGCAGAAGATAAACATGAACTGAGGCAAAGAATAAAACAAAAAGACTGAACAACAGAAGAGGCTTGTTTGATATAGTTGCGAGATGGTTGGTGGTCTTCCTTCTGCCAGCGCTGGCGTCCTCACACTCTTTGGTCAGCTTCTTGCTGCCAGAGGCTTCTGTCTTGATAGGAAGCGTGATGGTTCTAGCGTGCAGATCTCTGATGTGGGACGGCCCAGGTCTCAGTTTGCGTGGGTCAATTGTGACGGCTGGGTTCATGCCTTTGTTCCAGCTCTGTTCTCTTCCACTGCTGAAGGGGACTCTCAGTGTCCTGTTCTCCACAAGGCTACTAAATGATTCCATCAAACTGGCCCAGTTGTGAAGGGTGTTGTCGTTGGATGGTCCGGGAATCGGGTGCAGGTCAGTGGTGAAAGTTACTTTCATGCATTTTTCCGTTTTGTTTTTGACAGAGCTCATGGGCGCCCTCTTGAGGCCATTTGTGGACATCTGGCTGCGTGGAGAAGAACTGGGCCCAGTAACCAGTGTATTCACACCTGGGTCGTCATTTCGTCCAGTAACGTCCTTTCCTTTCTCATTCCACACTGAACTTTTCAGACCTGTGTCGTCATTTCGTCCAGTAACGTCCTTTCCTTTCTCATTCCACACTGAACTTTTCAGACCTGTGTCGTCATTTCGTCCAATAACGTCCTTTCCTTTCTCATTCCACACTGAACTTTTCAGACCTGTGTCGTCATTTCGTCCAGTAACGTCCTTTCCTTTCTCATTCCACACTGAACTTTTCAGACCTGTGTCGTCATTTCGTCCAGTAACGTCCTTTCCTTTCTCATTCAGACCATTTTTTCCAGCACCTGATTTGCCAAACAGTCCAAGGGCTTTCTTGAAGAACGACTTCTTCGGTTCCTTTTTGAGTTTCAGCCTTCGTGAAGTCCGGTTCTGGTCATGAAGGGTTCTATTGTGGTCCTCCTCACTTTCCGAAGTGCCACCTCTGTAGCAGTTCAGGAGGAGAACCATGCGAAGCAGGCTGACCACCACTTGGCTCTTCTCCTTTTTCTCCTTCTTCTCCTTCTTCCTCTGTTCATTCATGTTACTTGATCAGTTGGTTTAAATGAAGCTCGTGAAGCGCAAACAAACAGCTAAAGCATCAAACTTGAAATGAAACAAAACGCGCTGAGTTTGGAGTTTATAGGCTTCAGCCATTGTGACATCACAATGCAGCATGATATTTAGCACATGGCCACATCTGCTCTGACAGTGCATTGTGACGTCACCGTCGTCTGATTGGCTGAGCTTGCCTTACACACTGAATATGAAATTTGAACCCTTATTGTAACTCTTATGTAAAACATAAAACCCTCGTTTAGAAATGCAGCTTCAGGAGCTCAAACAGAAATAATTATTTACTCAAAAAAATTAAATATGACCAGTCAAATGAGAGTGAAAGTTAATGTTAATGTTATCACTGTAACAAAGCTGGACAAATTAGAGTCTGCTTATAAAATTCAAGAATAACAGTCCAAATTGAAAATATATATAACTTTTGGTTGTTTATCGACCTAAATCTGAGTTAGCAGTGAGCAGCTAAAAAAGCTAAACAAATAATATTAATGATTATTATTATTATTATTATTATTATTATTATTGTTGTTGTTGTTTTTATTGTTGTTGTTGTTGTTGAGTTTGTTTGTTATACGTCTAATTTTTACTATTGTGCTTGCGTCACTTTTTTTTGTGTGTTTTTTGCCTTTTGCCAGGCCACTATTGTTTGGCCTGTCTGGTTAAATTAAAGCTTAACTAAAAAAAATTATAAATAAATATGTTAATAAGCAACCAATAAAACAGAAAAGATTGAAAGATTAAGAAAGAGTTGAAGGTCGAAACAAATGGACAGGAAAAAGGAAAGAATGACAGGAAGAAGGAAAGAATGAAATGAAAGAGGAAAGAAAAGAAAGAATGGCAGTAATGAAACAAGTGAAGAATGTAAGGAAGAAGAAAATAATGAAAGGAAGAAGGAAAATGAAAGTAGAGAGGAAATAATGAAAGGAAAAAGAAAATAATGAAAAAAGTGAGGAGAGGATGAAATGAAAGAGGAAAAGCTGAAAAGAAGAAGGAGAGAATGAACATGCCTCATCCGTTTGAGTCCTCGCAGCCGCGAGCGTGCGAGGCAGACAGTTAGACAGCGGTCAGAGATGTTCCTCAGAGACCTTTCACAACTACCTTGTAACTGTGTGGATACCCCACTCATACTCGGGTTCGCACCCCATGGTATTTGGGGGTCCCATATTGGCTGGCAACTCCAGTGGTGGCTCGCTGCTAACAGCTAACTCACTCACCACAGCGGTGCTAATGCTAGCTTTAATAGCAGCAAAGTGTTTGGTTTACAATTCTTTTTTCCTGGTTTAGTAATGCTGTCTTCCACATGTTAACTGAGATCTTACACATCTCGTCTTTCGTCTTTGATTTGAGAGATAAGTAACAATTCACTCTTTACACCAATATCTTGGGAAAGTGTTCAGATTTACAAATATTCTACATCATACTGTAAAGTTATCCTGGGCGTGGTCATTGAGTTCATTTTGGGACAAAAGTTTTGGGACAAAAGTTTCATATAAAAACATTTTGGGACAAAAGTTTCATATAAAATAACAGCCATCTGTAACAGCATATTTAGGAAGCCTCATCCAAGCTACACATGTAAAAATTGGTTCTTCATGGGATCTTTAGTAAAGACAGCCATGAGTTCTATATAGTACCGTTTAATGGTTACACGGTTCTCTTAATGGTGAAATCAGACTGTTTGGTACTGTTACAAGCTTAATATCATGACAACAACAGAACCCTTGTTGGTGTTATATAGAACCATCTTCAAAACGGTTCCATGTGCAACACATTCTCCATCAATCTGAGGAACAGTTTCACCATGCAAAGAACCAATGAAGCATGAAATGGTTCTAAATAGAACTTGTGGCCCTAGATAGAAAGACTGCCTTTATTAAAGAACACCTTTTTTTTTTAAGTGTGTTGGTCATGAAGGGGTTAAAACACCTCAAGTTTTCAATATTGTTCTGCGTGCTGCATTATTTTATGTTGGGGGTCTCTGGGGTGCTTTCTGACCTCTGGGTGGCGCTGTGAAAAATGTTCCATGTCGGAGGGAGCAGCACTGTCTATGGTTTTAATGTGGTCAGTTGCTTGGTGACGAAGAAGCCACGACGGACGGTTTCCTGCAGCATCGCTGTCTGCAAACAAGTTTGAAATCAGAAAACCTGAAATATTTAGCGCAGAGTAAGACGGACTGATTTAACCGTGCTTAAGTGAGAGTCTGTGAAAAGCTCGCGCTATGTGAGAGCAAAGACGCTTCACGGGGAGAGAACCATGGAGAACTATGTGTTTATCAGAGTTGTTGGGAAGGGCAGTTATGGAGAGGTGAATCTAGTACAACACAAATCAGACCGAAAACAGGTAAGACGAGCTCGTATTGTTTACAACTTCAGTGTAAACACTTTTAGCTACTGTACTTCTAATAAGAGTTGTCTGAGGTAGCTTTGTACGTGTAGCTGATAAACAAGCTAACTGTGCTGACTAACCTAAAGGGGGATTCCACCGATTTTTCAAAATGTCTGCATAATTTAGTCAGTGGTTGAGATGTAAGCAACTTTATTCGAAGGTTTGACATTTTGTCTCAAGATAATGACTTATTTCTGAAGTTGTCGACTTACTGTGTCTAAATAATGACTTATTTACTCGAGGTTTTGACTTCTCTTTCAATAGTTTTTGGCTTATCAGCGTTTTGCATTCATTGTGTCAAAATAAGGGCTTGAAGAGTTATTTTACATATATAATATCAATAAATATTACGTCTGATAAGTTGACGTTTTCAAAGTCATTCTTTTTAGGTAAAACTTTCAGCATCATAAATGTCTTTTCAGAAACAGAGAAAAAAGTTTATAATTTGGTAGACCTTTGATGTGAAATGGTTCATTCGTAGGGAAACTTGCTCTGATTTCTTTAGTTACAGTGGTGGTGAAAGGAACCAGGGGTCACAATGTCTGCAACACAAATATAGCCATTTTATTTACTATCCAAGACCACCAATTAACCTACACCTGTCTTCTGAGTTTTTATGTGTAATGCTGAAGATGGTAAAATAGAGGAAAATCTGAAAAAAGGAGTTTTCTTTGGGGACTGCTTTGCCTTAGAACGCCATTTGTGTATCCCTCCACCATGAATAGATTAAAATACACTTTAGGCCTAAATGTTATCACAAAACTACTATAAAACAATCTCTCAGACCTCAGGCAGCGTAACCATTTCATGTAATAGCTTTCTGTGAGGGAGTTTATAGAAGCATAAAACTCTTCAGCCGTCTGGTTCCGGTCACCACGTGCTACCTTTGTTTTGAAATAAAATTTGCTGTTTTTGCTGCTCATCTCAGAATTGAAAATGTGTGTATCATCACACCACCATTACCTAAACTGTGTGAAATATAATCAGAAAGAACATTTAGAGGAGTATCAATATTTTGTCAGTATTGCATTCACTTTGACACACATCAGCTTATCTCTCCTAATGAAACTGGAATGTCATGTCTTGGAAATTTTCTGATTGTGGTATTATTACATGTGGTGTTGATTTTAACTAATGAATAAATAAGTTAACAAATGTGAAACTTCAATGTGGCATTTTTCTTCAAATTTGAGCACATACTTTTTGTTTTTAACTATATTATTTTAATGTATTGGAGAAAAAAAATATACAATGTGTTGTAACTTTTGCAGAGGCCACATTTTCTGTTTTATTTATTTCTCAGTGTGCTAATTCAACAAGTAAACAGCAATTGTGCCTTAAAATGTGCAGAAGTATGTTCTCTGTAGAGGTTGTGTTAACTTATTTTCACTTAATTGACATCATTAAATCATTTGCACACCTTATGTGTATATGCTTAAAGTTAATGTGAATCAAAACTTATAACTCATTTTCCTTTGGTTACATGACATATTTCTAAATGAGACACGTATCATGGAGGGTCTCTGAGACCCTGTTTGCGCCTGATCACGTCATGCGTCTTGAGTATCAAGATTATATCTGGATAAGGCCAAGCCACATAAAGATGCAAGTGTAAATGCATGTGACTAAAATCTTATTAGGATACAATCCAGATACTTGGCACATGAAATGAGTGTAAACAGGGTCTGAGTTTCACACAATGATAGGCAGACCTGAAATTATGATTGACATGAAATTAATGGGTAATATTATTTTTTCTCTGCCCACTGGTGCACAGTGATGTAATTAAAAATAAGAAGACAGGCAAAAGTCACTAGACTTTGATAAAAGATTAGCTAACAAAATTAGAATAGTTAGAAAAGCTTGACTGTTGAAGTTCAGTGCTTGAAAGTTGTCATCTAAACACGTAAATAGTACAGGTCATGTCTGTGCGTAAATTAACATGAACATTTTACATTATTGTTTTACTGAGACACAATCATGGGACTTCTGACTGGGGCTCTAACACCTTTAGAGGGCAGCAGTGAGCACTGTTTGTTTATTTGAGCTCAAGCTTTGGCTTTTGGGATACGACAATTTTTTATTATCGCCCACCCCTAATTCTTCAGAGATATGAAGCTGAAGTCAGATATTCACCTGCTTCTCGTTTGAATTTTACAAGATGATACGTTGGTTATCGTAATTTTGTTAATGGAGGAAATACTCACATTTGTGGCTTTCCTTGGTCACTCGTGCAGCCATCTTGCCAGTTTTTCTTTTTTTCTCATAACACTCTGTGTGGAGTGAGCCTCTGAAAAACCTCCGTTTGGAGGGCCATGTAGCCCTAACACTTCACCCTACCCCTCTATCTCAACAAAAATTGAGACACCCTACCCCTAGACGTGAATGTGCAAAACTAAGGGCTAAGTGGTAGGGGCGAGGGGTGAAATGAGATTAGGCCTTAGCATCGGTAGCTGAAAGCAAGATAGCTACTCAGCCAATTTGGCCACCTTTGCTTTGTACTTTTTCCTTAGTCTTTTGATGTAGGATCTAAATATTGTAAAAGTTTTAAAACATACCATTCACTCCTCAGTCCATACAGTCAATATATGGAAACTAAGCTGCAAAAAGAGCCCGCTTTGAATTCACTGTTTTTGTGATGTCACACAAACCATGACATTTACTTATATGGACCATTCTACCGAATTAGTTTAAAAAGTTCGGTAGACCATATAAACTATTAAAGAAAACAATTAAGCAGGCAGATCTTCTGTATTTACAAGGATTTTTGTGATATGGGTTGTGAACCCAAGGCATTAATTGAAATAGTAATAAGCTAGGCTTATAAACATAATAAAAATAATACATACAGTATAATTGTTTATAGGGTACTTTCTGTGTACTATTCTTTTTTTCCATTTTTTGAAATATCTTTTTGATTTCTCTTAAAGTGAAGTTATAAAATATTTAGATTTATCATGAGTTTCATTTTTAACTGAAGAAACCTAATTTAAATATGCTGTCCCACGTTTTCATGTCACTACTAGAACTTTTAGACTGTTAGTCCGTAGGCAGAGCCTTATTTTAGCCACACCTCCGCATTTTAGAGCAGGAAGTGAGACTGCATCCCTGTTCCTCACGGCCCATGGTAAGCAGTTAGATCCCATTATTTTGAAGTAAATGTATCCCAAAGTGTGGAAATCAGTGTGCAACCTTAAGAAATGTTGCGTGTGTACAACTGTTCGAAGCTGTGTTTGCTAGTCATGTACTGCCTCCTGTTTTGAATTGTGCTGAAAAATAGCTAAAATTTGGTAAAGTTTCGGTAGTGTTATGATTGCTTTGGTAGTGAAAAAAATGAAATGTTGAATCATTTGTTTTAATAAAATCCAGTTGAATGATCCCTATCCACCTATTCAGCGGACAGCTGTTTAGCTCCTCCCATTCATGCTGGAGTTATAAAGAGTGTTTCAGCTTGGACTGTTCTTTGAATGGGGCACAGTATAGGGCAGCCAATCGGGACAGAGATCGTTTACAAACACCAGTCAGAAATCAATAGGGATAAAGAGAGGTTGGAAAATCGTAATGTAAAAAAAAAAATTATGCCTGTTTTTGATGCATTAAACCACACAAAGTGTATATGTGCACCTCAGGAAAAAACAAGTACAAGAATAATGTAGGATATGGGCCCTAATTGCTGCATAAAATAAATAAACAAAATTGTAATTATTTATATGGCAATTAATCATCACCTAAAAATTTCATGATTGTGACAAGCCTAGGTGTGTCTGATCTTTTGACTGGTAGTGTGTATTATGATGTCCTATCTATTCTGATCAATTTGTATCCAAACCATAAAAATTGATACAGCTGAATCACCACCGTCAGACATTACTGTGCGCACAGATGTATTTTTGCCTTAATATCTAGAAAAGAATCCCTATCCAACTTCTACATAGTCTTTGTCTTAGAAGAGAAGAAGCTAGTATCAGTGTTCAGTCACTGTGATGTTGTCCAGGCAGTGTCATGCTAAATTAACGTGCCTGTTTTTCTTCTCCACCTCTCAGTATGTCATTAAGAAGCTGAACCTGAGGACGTCTTCTAAACGCGAGCGGCGAGCGGCAGAGCAGGAAGCTCAGCTCCTCTCTCAGCTCAAACACCCCAACATCGTCACATACAGGGAATCATGGGAAGGGGAGGACTGTCAGCTGTATATAGCGATGGGTTTCTGCGAGGGAGGAGATCTCTACCACCGCCTCAAGCAGCAGAAAGGGGAGCTGCTGCCTGAGAGGCAGGTGGTGGAGTGGTTTGTCCAAATCGCAATGGCTCTCCAGGTATCGTACTCTGGTTTGGGCTGGGATGACAAAGATTTTAACAGTTTATTGTTATTGTGGGTGTTATTGTGAAACACTGAACAACTGTATGTATCATAAAAACCATTACACCATATAGGGCAGGGTTACTCCAGGGGGTTTTTGAGAGTCAGGAGGCTAAAGTGGAATGGGCCTCATTCACCAATATCTTTATAAATTTGTTCTTGAGAAAGGTCCTTTTTAAAAAAGTGTTCTTGAACCACACAGTTGTTTGTGCATTTGTGCTATCAAATGTGCATAGATTGTGTTCTTACGTAAGAACAAATCCCAAATAAGAAAACATTGGTGAATGTCAGAATCTTTGTGAAAACTGCGTAAGTAGGTTTTAAGAAGAAATTTCTTCTTAAGAATATTTGGTAAATGAGACCCAATGTTTGTGGTAGGCTGAGGCTCAAAAAGTTTTAAAAAATGTACATTATTGCTGATTTTAATAATGTATTGTATAATACGTCACTATATCGTGTTGCTAAAATGCAATTTTAAAAGAATAATAGAAGTTTAATAAAAATAAAAGTTGTATACAGTATGCATAGATTGCATAGTACAAGTAGCTGGTTGCATGTCAGTTCACTCTGACCTCATTTTATTCATTTTATTCATTTTATTTCATTCATTTATTAATTGTTTGATTTGTCTGCTGTTCCTTTTTAATTAATTTGAATTAATTGTTGCAAATGTTGGATAAATAAATACAAAAAAATAAAATTCAAAACTAAATTTTGCAAAAAAAATTTGTGTAGCATAAAAATGTCTGTATTATGGTGTTATATTTTCGCTATGCTGACCACACTTAGTTTGATATTGTTTGTGATATTGTAGATGATCTCATATGATCAACTCTGTGCTATTTACATTTGACAGTGATCATTTCTTTTTTTGTTGTTGTTGTTGGCAGTATTTGCATGAGAAACACATCTTGCATCGAGATCTGAAAACCCAGAACATTTTCCTGACCAAGACCAACATAATCAAAGTGGGTGACCTGGGCATTGCACGTGTGCTGGAGAATCAGAACGATATGGCCAGTACCCTGATTGGAACGCCTTACTACATGAGTCCTGAGCTCTTCTCCAACAAGCCTTACAACTACAAGGTGGCACGTTTACAATTACCTGTTATACATACCCTTATGCATAAGTTGTAAGTTTCAAAAATGTATAAGTTTCAAAAACCAAGCTTACAGTAGTTTCCCCTGAGCTCAAATGTAGATGATTAGACAAGACATGTTTGGTGTCTGCTTCTTTAGTTTTGCACTGGAGCTAGTGTAACAAACAAGTAATAGAGGCTAATGACTAGCAGTTAGCATCTAATACATCACATGCTTTCCTCAAACTGCACTGAGGTGTTCAGTAATCTCAAATAGACTCGCTTATGTGGTTTCTGATACTGTATGACATACTGTTACAGTACTGTGCAAAAGTCAGGGACCATCCTTTAATTTAATTAATTTTTTTAAGGGACATTTCAAAGTCAAAGGGAAATAATTGGGACAAAAAAAAAGGAAATTCCAAAACTGGAGTAAAAAAAAATATTAAAAGACAGCCATGCAAGACCTGGTAGACCACCAAAACTGACACCATCAGATAAACAGTATTTAAAGTTTTCATCTTCGAGAGAGAGGAGAAATTATTAGGTACATGAAGGCATAATGGTAAACATCTATTCACAGCCAGATTGTTTTATATTACTGAAAACATTGATTCCAGGCTTTTAAACAGTAGTGTATATATAGTGTCCGTGATCAGAGAGTGAAATTCTCAAAACTGTGGGTTTGAAACGATGTGTAGCTGTCAAGAAGCACTAACTGGGTGAAGGAAACACACAAAAAAAGAAAAGTTGTTCTCAGAACTTAGTGTTTGGTATTACTTGGATCATGTGAAGAAGAAAATGCAACAAACTTCTACGACTGAACTTTGGAAGTGTGGAAAAAAAAAATCTGCAGATTTCTTTGAAAACCTAAAAGCAAGTCTCCTGAAAAGAATAGAGGTTGTAATAAAGGCAAAAGGTGGATAGACTTAATTGATAGGATATTTAGTTGTTCAAGCTTTTGTGTAATTTTCTATTAAATATATGTTTCTGACACTGAAAAATAAATTATTTGTACTTATTGGCCATTTTGACAGGAAATTACATAAATGGGTGGTCTTTGACTTTTGCACAGTACTGTAGACACAAAACCGACAAACAAGTCTACATTTCAGGTAAGGCAAAATTGTATAAAACAACAACACAGATCCAGAAGGTTCTTTTTTATGTGGCTGATTCAGTCATGTTGTTGTCTCGGTACAGTCGGACGTGTGGGCGCTGGGCTGCTGTGTGTATGAGATGGCCACTCTGAAGCACGCCTTCAATGCCAAAGATATGAACTCGCTCGCGTACAGAATCATCGAGGGGAAGGTAATTTGCACATTTCTCCAAATGAGACACGTTCCTGTGTCTTGTGTGACATTGCTGTTTACTGGATGACTGGACAGGGCTGCAGTTATTTCAGGATTTCTCAGGGGGTTCATCTTCATATCGCTTCATATTCCCCAGCTGCCACAGATGCCGAGTAAGTATGACCCTCAGCTGGGAGAGCTGATAAAGCGGATGCTGTGTAAGAGACCGGAGGACAGACCAGACGTCAAACACATTCTGCGGCAGCCGTACATCAAACAGCAAATTGCTATCTTTCTGGAGGCCACCAAAGAGTATGAGACCATTCTTAATAAACCCTAGTTAGTAAATTACACTGTATGTTCTAAAGTTTGTGGACACCAGCGTTTCTTCTGAGATCAAGAGTATTAATATAGTTTGTTCCCCCTTTGCTGCAGTAACAGCATCTGCTCTGCTAGATGTTGGAACATTGCAGGATTTGATTGCATTCAGCCTTCAAGAGCATTAGTCAGGTTAGGTACTGATGTTGGATGATTAGTTCTGGATCACTCCAACTCATCCCAAAGTAACTAGATGGAGCACCTCACTCCAGAGAACTGCTCCACAGCCGATTGGAGGGATTTATACCCCCTAGGCAATGTTTAACATTGGGCATGGTGGCTTTAGGCTCATGTGCAGCTGCTCCAGAGTGTCCCATTCTATTGACAACACTTTTCTTGGAGATTATACATGCTGCTTGTGTAGCTAAATTCACTAATTAGAAGGGTGTCTGGGTACTTTTGGACATATACTGTGATTAGTAAACCAGCTATGTTTATAGTTTTTATAGTGTATATTTTTCCTGATCAGTGCTGTTGTTTGGCAGGAAAACGGCTAAATCCCGAAAGAAGGCGACGAACAGCAGATCTCACAGCACTCCTAATGTGCCAGTTCAGGAGAATTCTCCTCAGTGTCTCAATTCTGAGCCAAAAAGCAGAAAAAAGGTACAGTACACCCTGCAAAGACTAATGAAAGCTCAGGCAAACCGTTTTTTGTGTATGTGACTACATAGGAATCATAATTATTTTATCAGCATTGCATGGTGTCATTTTTTTAAAAACCTTTCTAATTTAACTTTTTAAATTAGTAGAAATCTACAGATATTATTGTTGCTATACGGGACAATAATTTTCAATTCACAATAACATTGTTATGTTTAAACTGAATTTACATTGAAAAATCAGTTTCTAGAGGACTATTTTGCCTAACAACGCACTGCATGTACCTTTCCGCCACGGTTTTTAAAAAATGCGTTTTAGGGCAAAACCTTCTCAAAACGATTGTTCCAGGCATCAGGCAGTGCATTTATTAACATTTAATGTAATAACTTTCTCTGATACTTTTACGATATTAAGTGGTTCCAACATCTCGTTCCTATCAGAGCTTGAAATGTTTTTTTAAAGCTCCTCTCACCCTCGAGATACATAATCAGATGGGGGTTTTCATAGTCTTTAAACTGAAAATTCTTGATATAGCAATGGCTACATTTTTCAGATTGGCCAGAATTTCTCTCAAAACCAAAAGTGTATGCACTTAACATCTCATTGTGTGCTTACAAACACAAATGCGCTATGGATAGACAGGTTAGATCCCACACTTTAGTCAAAATTTCTCTGCTTGTTTTAATGAGCTATGAGTGAAAAGCAATCCAATGAGTTGTAAGAATAGATGTTTCAAGGCAAATACGCCATGAGAGATCTAGAAGGATTAAGAGCCAAATACGAAATGTTGTAATTGTGGTATTACAGTCGCGTGCAAAAGTTTGGGCACCATGGTCTTATTGCATGTTTGTTGATTTTCTAAGTGAAAATAAATACACTATTACAGAGAAGACAGTTTTGCACATTTTTATGCACAGTTACTGTACAGTGCAGTAAATAAATAGAAATTGTGCTCTAAAATGAGCAGAAAATGCCATATTTGAGTTCCGTGTAGAGGATGTGTTAAGTTCTTTTCTCTTAGAGAATCAAAAAAACATGGAATTTTGCACACTTTTGCATACTTCTATGTATCTACAATTTTTTTCTTCACAGTCAGAGGAAAACAACCGCTATCAACGCAATGCTGCAAAAGACAATATTTTACCAAACGCACCACTGCCCCAAAAATCCTCCAGCCAGGACGCTCTTAACTCGACGGGGCAGTCCATAGCAACCATCAGCAATGTAAACATCGACATCCAACCCCCGGAGTCCCAGCACAAAATGAGGAAAGCAAAACCGCCCCGGCCCACGCCCACCCACAGGCATGCAGGTGAGCCACCTGCGGTGATCAGGCGAGGAGAGAGAGAGGAGAAGGAGAAAGAAGATCCGTCCACTCCTCAGACACACCCAAGAAAGCAGGCATCGGGTGACCACAACAGAGAGGATGAACGGTTATCACATCCATTCATATCGCAAAGCTCGAGTGGACACGCGCCACCGAAACCCACGGACAGACTGAAGCCTTTAAAAGAGAATAAGGCTCCTAATGCCAATATGGCTTTGGAGGAGGACACTATGAAACTGCTGCAGCAGGCAGAGATGGAACGCATAGCTGCTCCCTGTCATACGCGACACAGTGCTGAGATAAAGATGGAGAACCAGGCCAGCCCAGAGGCCACAGGGGACCACAAAACAGAGGCTGCACTGAGGGACATTTCTACAGGAGAGAGAAGAGTAAGTTATAATCTGTAGTGAAATAGAGGTCAACACTTTTTTCATTATGAAGTCAGAGATGAGCGCTGCTGTTCTTCAATGTTTTGTACAGACGAGCTTGGAGTCCACAGATAAACTGCTTGAGCCGTTTGTCCCAGAAGTCCTGATGGTAAGAAATAAGTTCATGCTTGTTATGTGTAAGACACACTAAAGTGACAGTTTGGCGAAAGATCAAATTATGCAGTTATCACATTTTTGGTGTCTTGACTTGCTTCTGTAGTTTGAGACTGGAGCTACAAGCTAGACTAGCAAGTAACTGAATCTTTACACACTTAGCATTATGCAAACTGCAAGTGTAAATAATTGCTAAAGCCCCACAAAATAGGCCCAAATTGAAGACCAGAATTTGTGAAAATATCGTTGATAAACAACTTTTGGGGGAATTTGATCTCACCTCAAACAGTTCTAAGTTCAAAATTTCCTCAGAATTCAGTTGTTGAAATGTAAACAAAGTCATTCAAAATGCTTTTTGTGACATTGTTCATTGTAGAGAAACTTGGTGACTCTGCCCTTTTCACAGTGGTGGTGATAGGAACCAGGGATCAAATGTCTATAACATTTTAGGGACGTCCTGCGTGCACCTCTTCACTATGAATGGATTTTAAAACACATGATTTAGGGCAGATATTATTATCACAAAACAATATCTTCTGCATCAGGTAACATTTTCATAATCATTTGTGTAATAACTTTCTGTGAGGTACCTTTTAGAGGCATTCAGTTCTTCAGACGTCTGGTTCTTATCATCACCATTGTGTACAATTCTTACTGGGTAAGTTTCTCTATAATGACTGACTTTTTACATCTTAAGCATTTATATGCAGAAATGTTGAAAACTGATGGAGTTCACCTTTATTGCAAGACTGAATTGGTGAATTTGAACGCAAAACCAATTTATGGTTAGAATAACCAAAAAATGCAAATATATCTAAAACTAACCTTCAGCATTAGAATAACATGTTATAACACCACTGTCATAACGTGAAAAGAAGTAGCGAAAAATGAGAGGTAATTAACAGAAACTAAAACTGCAAAGAATTCTGGGTAGCTCCACCTTCTAGTTCTACAGTATTTATATTATTTAAGGTTGTGAGTTTCTGCTGTTTGTTTGAGTTTAAGAAGTGTAATAACTAAAAACTGACAATCATATCTGCAAGTAAAGCACTGTTTAACTAAAACTATTGAAGTACAATGTTATAATATTATCTAAAACATACATTAAAAAAAAAAGATCGGTTATTAGAATACAGTACCGCTATTGGCCACAACATTTTCATATCGATGGGCCCTATTAATTGCGTAAAAGTATGTCATACAGTGTCAGAAACCACATAAATAAGTATATTTTATATAATCTTTTTATTTAACTTAATCCAGTTTGATGAAATTATGGTGATTGAGCCATGCAGTTGCACAATGCTAATCTGAAGTGTACAAGGTTCCATTACTTGCTAGTATAACTTGTAGCTCCAGTATAAAAGCTAATTGGATGATTGTCCAATTTGTATTTTATTCCTGTAATTATTTTGCCATTGATATATCACAACTGAATAGGAAGTACAGAATTTTCATACTCTGTATATTTCAGTATTGGAGTAGTGCGGTACATAATATATAATCCAGTGAAACTAGATGAAGTAATTCTTGCCTCTTTATTTAGGAGCCTCACAGTCTAGAGCCAGCCGCAGCGCACAACACGCCATCTCTTCATCCTCCCTCCTCTTCCTCTGAGCCGTCCATGTCTCGTCAGCGCAGACAGAGAAAGAGAGAGAAGGCTGAAGACAGCACAGTGAGTAGTGTGGCTAGAGAAATTATTTGATTTATGATTATTGATTACACCAAGGGCTGTCACTATCAATTATACATAAAAATTGGTATTTTTAACAGCAAACATATATATATATATGCTGCTGAACATGGCTTCATAATGACCTGCACATACCATTTATCATTCAAATGGCAAACCAGTTGCTATGCTGATTCATTGAGAATGTACATTTTAATTGATTAATTTTGTAATTGAGTGATTGATTTTAATTGAGAAATGGTGGCGACTCTAGTTACATCGCTCTTGGAGAGAAATCTAAATTATTTCTTTAACTCATTTTCAATCTGAATATAGGAGAAAGCAGCTAACTCCAGGCCTTTGCCTCCTCTACCTGAAGATGTAAACACGAAGGGCAGAGACAGAGGAGGAGCAGAAACAGCTAAACCCTTTTCGGCATTCAGCCGGCCTGTACCGAGCAGTGAAGCTGCCCCACAGGTGGGACACACTTAAGCCGTGAAAACATGACCACTTCTTTATCACACAGTTTGTTAAAAAAAGACATTAGAAGTGAGAAAACATGAACTTGGCAGGACAAATTCCCCTCACCATTCTGAAAAAAAAATATGTTAATTAATTTTGAATTCATTGACAGACACTAGGCATTGACACTAGCGTTCAAAAGTTTGTAATAACTGTTATCAATTTTTTTTCATTGTTGCATAATAAATGTATAAATTGATTCTAATATGATGGTGCTACTCTAAACTTCACAGATTTCGACTTGGAAGCAGTAGAAAATGATGTATGTGACAATGAACAGAGCTGATGGTTCCAGTAATGACCACGAAAGCTATAAAATATTGAAAATGAAGTTGTATTGAAATAAACATCCAGAATACATTGTATTTGAAACAATGTGATCAAATTTTAAGCTCTATCTTATTAAGAAATGACTATAAATAAATAATTACAGTATGTTGTTCATCAATTAAATAATAACCAAATACACAAAATATTAAATAAAATGTCTTAAAGTACATAAATAGTACTTCTATCTAAACTGTAAGTTATTATTGAATAAAACAGCAATTATAGTTGGGGCTCTGTGCAAAATGTAAACAAAAACAGAACATAATGATGTGTAAATCATTTAAACCCTATATTTAATTTAAGTAGTACAAAGAGAACATATCAAATATTAAAACTAAGACATTTTAGTGTTTTTGAAAAATATATGCCTATTTTGAATTTGATGCCTTCAAGGAGAGGCTGCACTGATGTCTGGTAGTTTGTCTAATTTGTGCTGCTTCACTTGCAGAATCGACTTCTGTCAGCCAGAGAAAGAAGAAGACTGAGGCAGTTGCAGGAAAACCAGAGCGAGCAAGGTATACATGCTGGAACATTTCAGAACAGCTGAAGAAAAAATCCTGTAACATTACCAGAAGAAAATATACAGTGTTATTACGTTTTTGTCTTTTCAGTTTAGGGGTGCACTGAGAATTTTAATGGCAGATTCCAATTTCTTTATAGTCAGATTGGCTGGTGACCCATATTGTGTAAAAACTAAATTTTCTTGAAATTAGAGTAGTACATGAACATTTAAAAAAAAATCAAAACATACCATTCATCTCCCAGTCTATACAGTCTAAATATGGAAAATGCGCTGCAAAAACAGCCCATTTGGAATTCATTGTTTTTGTGGAGTCATGAAAAACAGCACATTTCCATGTATCCACCTATTCAGCTTACAGCAGTTCAGCCCCACCCATTCATGCTGAAGTTTCAAGAGAGTGTTTTTGGAGTGAGGCACAATACAGGCAAGCCAGTCAGGGCAGCGCTCATTTACATATGTCAGTCTTAAAGGCACAGTCACAAAAACACCCTGTTTAATTCTAAAGGATAAAGAGAGATTGGAAAATGGATATGTAAAAATCACACAAATGTTTTAATGAATCTCTTAGAGTCAAAATAATTAAAATACAAGAAAAATGTAAGATGTGGGCCCTTTAACCCAGAGCTCACATTGTCTGGGCTAAATGAACGCATGTAAAACACTAGCTCATTTCCAGTACTTTGTACTAGCTGAATGAATAATGTTATTATAAATACATAAATAAATCTAACAGGCCAAACTGGCATTTTACATGTGTACATGAAAAATTCAGCTGCCTATTTAAATAACATGAATCAAATAAATTACTATATGTAAAGTTTCCCATTTCAGTGTTGGTCAGTTCTAATTGTTTTCATTTTTTTGCTTTAAGGAGTCGATCTAATTTACAGTTTTCACAGTTACACAATGTAATGGAGGCAACCAGAGAAGACATATTTGGTGTCCAAAATGTGTTTCTTTAGTTTTGCTCTAGAGCTGGGAGGCTAATGTAGCTAACAATTAGTGAAAGCATATACCCTACCAATTAGCTTCATGCTAACTGCATGCCTAAATCATCGCATCGAGTTACACCACGATAGTACACAATTTAAAATAGTCTTGCTTATGTGGTTTCTGACACTGTACGACATTGTTAGATATTGTGGCCTCAGTGTAGAATGAGACGCGGGAAACTTTGTGGTTTAAAGCGGCTGGGATAGCAGGCAAGTCACTTCTAGCCACACAGTTTCCTTTCATGATGGACACTAACACTGGCACGACTACCCCACGGTCCAGCACAGAACAACACAAAGACCTTTACAGCACTAATAACAGCACTAATCTCTTTTACTGTGAGCCGTCACCTACCGAAAGCCTCAGCGCATGGCCCCTCTGCATGGGCATACCTCCGGCGCTGTCACAGCAGCATGAGCCAGTAGCCGGATGCTCCAAGAAATATACAAAAAATGAACAAAAGTACATTATATAACCGTAAGCGATAGTTACAGCCGTGCTGAACATTCACACAGTGCTTATTAATGCGCTACATGCTTCTCTAATTTACAGTTGGACTACATTAGCCTCGTAGCTCCACAGCAAAACCAAAGAAGCAAACTTTAGACATCTCACTTGGCTGATCAACTACGTTTGGGGTAATGAAGAAATTAAAAAAGTTAAGTTAAAAAGTAAAGTTAAATTTCTTGCACTTTAAACTTTGTGAACCTCTCAGTTTAGATTGAAAATTTGGCACTTTCACGATTCATCCTTTCTAGGAGCAAATATCTGGACTTTTCTCCCTCTGCAGGGTCATGCTGACCAGGCCAGAACAAGCTAGAAAATGTATTATTTTTTTCGCCCCTTACCTGAAAAGTTGCTGTTTTTGGAGATGAAAGCTTTTCTCCAGACAGTGACGATGTGAATTCATGAATTTAGAGAATGCTTAGAGCATTGCGTAGTGTTCCAGAATGATCAAAGCGAGCAGGTGCTGCATATATGAATGCGGATAAAAGGGTCTATTGTGTTTTTTTTTGTGCTGTATGGCCTCTCGTTAAAGCTTCTGCTCTTCTTTGAAGCGGCCCCTGCTGTCAGAAGGGCATCGTGTGATGTCTCCTCGTTAGGCTCCAAGCACGCCGACCAGCCCGACTGCCCGAGACCTGCCAGCGTAGCCATGGTAACACACAAGGTAGGATGACTGGCCCTTATTGGTGGGCCGCAAATTGGATGGTCAAGACAGTGCTGACTGCATGAACACATACTGTATATCAAACTTCAGTCCTAGAGGACCAGGGCCCTGCACAATTTGGCTTTTTCAATGCTGTGACATACCTGATTCAATTCAGATGTGGGCTTAAAGAAATAATTTGGCAAAAAATCAGATTTACACAGTTCTCCCATTTTCCCCCTTTTATAGTCAGTCAGCCAAGACATATTTGGTCTCTGAAGTTTGCTTTTTTAGTTTTACGCTGGTGCAGTAACAGAATCTAATACCATACCAGTTCGCACTATGCTTACTGCATGCATAAAGCATTGCACACTTGCCTCAAAACCCATCAAGATGTTAAGTGATATGTATGACATACTATCTGTATGTATGACGTTATCTATAAAAAAGGGACAAAATTACAGAGAATATTGAGGCTCCACGATGGCTGCTACTATTGTTTTTAGCTACGTGACATACTTTGGTCTGTTTTTATAGATAACAGTTTGTCATACAGTGTCAGAAACCACATAAGAAAGTCTCTTTGAGATGATTTTGGCATGCACTTAGCAAAGTGCTAAATAGCAGGCTATCTCCTTCTATTACTTTGTAGCTACATTAGCCATGCAGCTCCAGTGCAAAACTCAAACTGGTTGATTTGAGGTATGGGGGAAATTGTGTACATTAGTTTTTTACTTAACTATTCCTTTAATGATCAGCTGGTAGATTATGTGTCAAAGAAATGGTTTGGTGAAAAATCTAATTTACAAAATTTTCAACTTACCCCATATTTAGTCAATCAGTGGTGAGGCATTGCTAACAAACACTAGAACTCAATAGTCACCCAAATAGCCCATTTTTTTATAGAAATGCATCCCCAAAACTTCTCTTAACCCGCTTAAATCACATCTAGGTTTTCATTAAGGTCACACAGACTTATGTGTCAGTGTGGTTTAGAGCACAGAATGATTTGCTGTATTTGGTTTGTATCATTAACGCTGTTGGAAAAAAAATCAGTCTCTGGTAATTTTCATTTCTCATCAAACCACTCTGAATGACTTCATTTACATGTCAATGACTGAATTATTGATATTCAAGATCAATTTGGGAATCTGCTCTTGTGTGTGCAACAGGAGAGGAAGTCCTCCTGGCGGTCAGACGAAGAGGAGTGCAGCTCCTCCACCAGCTCCACAGAGCGCTCAGAGGGAGACTACAGAGAGGGGTAAGAACCAACAAACATGCACACGTTTTAGCCTCAGACTTAGGGTCTGATCCTAATCTCACATTCAGCAATACATCAATATACTGACCAGGGGAAAAATAAAAGATTTAAGTTTAATTTAAGCTTCTTAAATGAAATTTAAGTTTAAATTAAGTTTCTTTGTTGCATACTTTGCATGTAACATGCTTACATGTTTATTTGCCCTCACAAAGGCCAAACAAGAGTATGTGGACATACTCGTGATGTAGTTAAAAATGTTTCATGTTTATTGTGTAAGTGCTTTAATTGGGCTTGACGTTTTGGTCAGACTCCAAATACAAGACTTTTCTGTCTGACCCAAAGGTACGATAGTGGTTTTAAGGTCCAACTTATACCTTAAATAAGTTTTTTGAGAGGTAAAATACATATTTGTACCTTTTTCATAACCTAATGTTTTAAAACAGAACAATAAAATAAAAAGCCTGGAGACGAGACGTCAATACAACTTAGAAAATATAATTTCAATGGATTATGGTGCAATTATGTTCCCTTACTACTCTTGAGGTACCACTCCAGTGACTGTATCTTTTTCAGCTCAGTATCTCTTTTTCTGAGACTGCAGGAGCAGAATTTAGAAACACTGTCTTAGACCAGCCAGTCAAACCCTTCCAGTTCATGCTGTTATCCTCTAGGCTCATGCGCCACATGCCTGTCTCAACTTACACGCAGCTGCTTCCACCCTTCATCCAACTCCCTGGTGGTCTAGTGGTTAGGATTCGGCGCTCTCACCGCCGCGGCCCGGGTTCGATTCCCGGTCAGGGAAAAAGCTTTTCTCAGAATTACTTAAAGCAATTGGCCAAAAAAGATTATGCAGTTAACCCTCTTAAACCATGACGTTTGGTGTCCAGCATTTACTTATGGGTGAAGTACTGTGACAGTATGTCTTTCTTTTTTTTAAGTCAATGTGAATCACAAATCAGAATGGCAACACTTTACTTGAACCCTGCTCCATCATATGCTGTCATGAGTTGCCATGACAGATTTTGTTCAGTGTTATGTTATCATTGCCAGTAGTTGTCAGGACAAATATGATAGCCAACTAGAATACACTTAACAAAATTTAGCATATGGCATAAACTGTCATGACATCAAACATTATGGCATCTGGCATGACAATTAACGGTAATAGTAACATGACACTGTTACAGCTCATGACAGCGTATGATATCTACCAAGACGTACCTCATTTTCTTCTGCACCGAGACATATTTCTGAGTGAAACACAGTATCAGGGAGGGTGTCAGAGCTAGCTGAGTGTTTCACTTGATGATAAGTGAGGGTGAAGGGAAGAGGAGGTGAAACAGGATATTATTAATTGATATTTTTTCCGCTTGTTGGTGCACAGTGATGTAATCAAAACTCTGAAGATGGTTTAGAGGTGAAATTACTACATTTCCATCAAAGAATACAAGAAAAAGAAACGAAAAAGGGTCATTCTGACTCCAGATTGATTTTAATAAATAACAGTATGTCATACAGGAGCATGATCTCTGCTGTATGGCATAATATTTATTAAAATGGACAACAAAATTAAGGCTGTATGACGGCTGTTACTGTTTTAGCTATGCTGATATAGCCAGAAACCACATAAGCAAGCCTATTTGAGAATGCTTAACAACTCAACATGCTTTGAGGCAATTTCAGGTGTGCAGTTTGCACAATGGTAATTGATGTATAAGCTTCCATTATTTGTCTCTGAAAATCCAGATTGACCACATTTAGAATTGTGTAAAGTTGAAGAAGTCAGTTTAATCTTTCTATAGGAAAATGCTCTGTAGTTATTATAATGAAATTATTATGTAATTACAATAATGTGCCTATGTAGTTAACCTGTTCTTTGTTACTGTGCTGCAGAAAGAGTGAGACCAACGAGATGCAAGACCTGGTGCAGATGATGACACAGACATTACGAATGGATGTCAGAGACATCTCACAAAGCAACTGCGCCACGCTGCCTGAGTTCAAACTGAACAGGAAATACAGAGACACGCTGATGCTTCATGGGAAGGCCAGCGAAGGAGACAGTGACTTCCACTTCAGTGACTTCCCCTCAGGTTTGGTACTCAATTACCAAGTTAGCTCTCCTTAAAAAGTGGTTTACCACTGAACTGTACTATGGCCAGTTTATATGAGCAGGTTGCACACGAAATTTGCTTGAGGACAGCCAAGGCTTTTGTTTTGACATTTGCTTTGCTTCCTTAGTACTGGAGCTACAACATTAATGTAACTAATACTGGAAGCTTAGATCTCATCCGTTAGCACTGTGCAAACAGCATACCTAAATCTCAATCATACTTTCCTTAAATTGCATCAAGTTAAAGGGGAATTTTACTGATTTTTCCAAATTTCTGCATAATTCATTCACTGACCTGTAAACAAAGTCATTCGGAGTGGTCTGATATGAAATGGTTCATTGTAGAGGAACTTACTGACTCTGATTTAGCCATTTTATTTACCGTCCAAAACCACCAGTTAACCTACATGTGTCTTCTGAGTTTTATGTGTAACGCTGATGATGGTAAAATAGTGCTAAATCATTTTAAATTCATTTTAAGCCTCAAAGATAGGGTAAAGCTTTATCTCAGGAATCACACTTTGTATTTATAACCGCTTTGTGTAATATACCTTCCTGTGAGGTCCCATTCAGAGGTATTTAACCAAACTGAACATTTGGTTCCTATCATAACTGCTGTGAACAATTCTGACTCAGTAAGTTTCTCTAGACTGTAGCATTCTGTATCAAAGCACACTGAATAACTTTGCTTACATCTTATTCAATTATGTAAAAAATTTTAAAAATAGGTGGCTTTCCCCTTTAAATACTCTCCAATGTGGTTTCTGACACTATGACATACTGTTATCTGTGTGAAAAAAGGAGAGAATTCAGCCTTTAAAGGGGTATTCTTATAAAAAAAATTGTTTAATCAAATGGTTAAGATATAAACAAAGTCATTCAGAGTGGTTTGATCTAAAATGTGCCATTCTAAAGAAATCTACCGAGTCAAACTTGTTCACAGTGGTTGTGATAGGAACCAGGCATTTGAAGAGTTTAATACCTAAACACTACATCATAGAAAGCTATGACATGAAATGACTGCTGCCTGATGCTTAAGAGTTTGTTCTACAACGGTTTTAAGGTATATGATTGATGATTTTGGCCTAAAACATGCTTATTTAATCTGTTCATGTGAAAGAGGTACATGCAGTGTTTTATGGTAAAATAGTACCTAAAGAAACCTATTTTTCAGATTTACCAGTTTCATCATTATCAGCACTGTTCTCTCATGACCACTGTAAAGAAATCAGTCTGTGGTTTTCTCTACAGTGCACCATTTCACATCTAAACACTCTAAATGGCATGTTAAGATCATCTTAGCTACAACAGTTGGTACCCAAGTTACCCAACTCTCAAGTTCATATGTGGCATATAGTTTATAATGTTTTTCCTTCTGTGTTCAGGTGACTCTACAGGACCAGCAAAGATCAGGAGAGCCATCGAGCACTTGCGTGCAGATGTAGTTAAAGGACTTGGTGTGAAACTGCTGGACAAAGTCTTGGACATCATGCAGGTGGAGGATGAAGAGAAGAGAGAGGCAAGTTAACTATACTAAAATATCCCAAAAAAGGAACTTTGTTCATTAGAACTTAACCTTCTCCCACTTGTGGGATAGTTTAATATGGTTAAATGCTTAGTTTAGGGATGTTTGGATAGATTGTATTTGATTAAAATCATCACATATTAAATGATATAATATTGAGTAATTTAACACTATTTTGGTAATAAACTTTCACTTCTTGTTTTGAAAGTTGAGTGAGTTCCATATCGACATCCATGTGCTTTACATAATATTAAAAAAGGAAGTGAAGGCATGCTGGAATTCAGCTATAGATACCTGTGAGAAACCATTAAATAATATAATTTTAATAGTTTACAACTCATCCAAACCATCTGGAGACAGGCTATATGGAAAATGCTTCGAATTCTCTTCTGACGGTATGCCACACTCCAGAGAAACCAGCATCAGAGACAATGAGGAATTGGCTGTACTGTAGATTAATGGCTCATTACTGTCCCCTAATAATCCATTGTTTTAACAGTAAAAGGGATGGAAACACAGTAAAACTGTTTAATCCTATCTAATTCTCCGTCAGTTATTTTTTTCCCCCCAAACACAGTGATTATTGCCTTTGAAGCATCATCTTTTCATTGCTGATCTCCAATTAAATCACCCTACTGCACAAGCCTAGACAGTATTTGTATAAAGTGTTAGTGTTAGCATTTCACATCTATCCATTTTAAGGCTATCACATGTAAAGGCCAAGCAGGATAATGCACATTTTTCAATCTGTATGTTTCTACCTGTTCTTTCAGGTCCTGCTCCGCCAGCAGATGGGGGAGGAGAAGTACAAGAACTACGCTGTTATGGTGCGACAACTCAAATTCTTTGAGGACGTCGCCTTTAAAGACTGAACCTGATGAGCAGCACTCCATTACAGCACTGATCATGCCACCACGTTTGATGGACAACTTGTGAAAAGTCTTGCCGAGGGCCAGTTAAAGTCTGCTGTGGACAACCACGGTTACATTTTCTGATGCCTTTCTAAATATGCATTGAAAAATGCACAGTGACACTACATATGCAGGTCACCTAAATTACTGTCCGGGTGGGCTACAGTCTATGTGGTCATAGTCTTATTATTCTACATTTCTTTTGTGAGCTTTATTGGAAACTTTAGTCTGCTTTTAGACAGCAAACTTGAAACCATGATAGAGATGTTAAAAGTTTAAACTGTTTTTTTTCTACTGTCTGCATAATGTATATTATGATGTTTAAAAGCATAAATGTTGGATGGTTTTTAATAAAGAGTTTTACATTTAGCATAAAATTATACATTACAATGTAAGAATGATCGTCTTTATTAAAGAGTTGTAATTTTACATGAAACATGACATAAATGGTTGAATCGTTACATTATTATATTTTGGCAAGTCCACAAAGAGGATCACTATGCAAAGGTGTTCAAGTCGAAACTAGATGGTGTTCTACTTATGCTTTTTCTTCTTTAAATTCTCCTGAGGCTTTTCACGGCTTTCTGTAGACGGCTCACGTATGGCAGGCTGCCATGTGAGGGGGTTTCTTCTATACATGGGCCAAGGAGGCAGTGTAAGCTGCACAGAGAAGTAGAGAGCTCCATAAGAACAAGAAATGTCCAAAATGCATGCAGCTATAACCAACAGTTCTGCATTATTTTTATAAATATACTATAATTATACTGCTAACTATTGCAACTCCAATATGACTGAACACTGAACATGATAAACATGGCATATGGCGTCTTTCCACACAGCATGGTCTAAGATAGGATTGCATAATTCAACCAAAAACACATAAAAATATAAATTATAAGTTTATGCAAACATGCTAAATTAACCAACATAGCCTGCTTACCAAACAGGAGACAGTAAATCCAGCTAGCATTATGTAAACAGTCCATCCAAACTGCTCAATAATAAGACCATAAATGAATCCAATGACCTGCAAAAAAGAATAAACAGAGTAAGAAACAGATGCACAAAGCAATAATAAGGTCAAGCCTTTTTAATACAGCTATGAAATATGGAAAAAGGAACTTCCAAAACAAGTGAAATTTAAACTGCATCATCCATACGGCCCTCAGTCTTTGCCAATGGTCTCTCATTTGCCATCTATCATGGAAAGGGCTAATCCACCACATTTTATTTTTTGTGTGGGTTGGAATTCATATTTACATTTTTCCCTTTGTTAAACTAGCTACTTTGCCTTTAAGACTAACATATCTAAGTCGGCCCTATTCTGATTGGCTACTGTATACTGCGCCTCTTACAAAAAGCAGTCCTGGCTCCTTAAACTCCTTATAACTTCAGTGTAAATTGGTGGGTATATGTAAATGTGTTGTGCACTGTATGGACTGGGGAGTGAATAGTAAATTTCAAAACTCATACTAATATAGCATTATATTAATTAATGCTTAGTGTAACATTCAGCATAGATTTTGCAGATTTTGACTGCTTTTGTGACATATTGATATTATAATTTTGACTGATATTTTGGGAGATTTAAAACAGAGATGCTACATTAAAAATGTTATGAGACACTTCCAATTTTATCAGTCTTCATATTGTTTACAGCTAATAATATTTCCATTTTTCTTAGCCATACCAACCTCTATGTTATATAATTAGAGCTCTATAGAATCAAGACATTTTTAACATGTAATATATGAAAAAACCAACTGAATCTTCATTTCATAATGAAATGTGTGCATCTTTAAACCCCCAGTAAGCAAATATTAGATGCAGTTTGAGCCAGTAACTTTCTTACCGCTGAGACAAGGATGATGCCTTGGAAAATCTGCTCCGCAAGTTTCTGTCCTTTGTAGTCCTAAAAAAATAAAAAATAAAAGAAATACACATTATATATATATATATGCACTATTTGAAGCTTTCCTGTGATCCTGCAGTTTACCAATATCTCGCTGGAGGAAGACTAACGTTGGCATCCTATTCAAATTTTCAGTTCCACCTTAAATGGTGCAGCAGTTACATTACGTACAGTATAGGTGCCAGAATGTAACTGCTGCACCATTTAAGGTGGAACGGAAAATTCGAATAAGAAGCCAAATTTAGCTTCGTGCAGCGCTAAAAGGCACCAGCAGAAACGGGACACTGAGCTGCACATATGTCAACGTTTAACAGCAACATTACAGTGACATGCATTACTGGTGTTTCCCTCTATACCGTTTATAACTCTAAACATCACTGACTGATACTTTTAAGGCGCATTTTAAAGCAGCTGAGATGATTTAGTGGGTGCCAATGCTAAGTTACCATCCCGCTAACGGTAACTTATGTTAATAACAGGAAACGACCGCGCTAAAACAACGTATTCAGGCTAACTAACCAAGCAGCTGATATCTGTTACGAGAGTAAGCCTTACCATGTGAGTCGGTATAGATTTAAACATGGACAACATCGTGAAACAACGAATTTGAGCCAATTTAAGAGGAATCGATATGAATTTGAGATTTCCTGTTTCAAAAAGATGCACGTAGATTTCTGAAGGACCCGAGGAAATCCGACAGAAAGCATCAAGCGGCTCGATACGCTCAGCGCCTGCGCAGCAGTTGTGCTCGTTAAACACAACCGCAAGAAAGAGAGTTTATTTAACGCATTTAAACATGTGTATTACTCTCGGATTAGCAATGTTATTAATAAAGCTATAACAAAATAACAAACGACTCTGTTTTTTTTATATGGCAGCAAGCTAGACACCTTTTGTGAGCGTTTTACGACAATTGGGGGGCGGTCGGTTGTAGCCGTACTTGGCAAGCGTAGGCGATTCGTACATCATGTGGATACGACGAACGGCTGACGCTCAGTGGCCGCTCTGTGAGGAGATTGTATAGTGATCTGTGAACGCTCTGTGCAGCAGTCCATTTCTCCTGAAAAAAAAATCACCGTGTGCTTTTCTCCTTCTCCGACTTGTTGATGTTGAGTTGGCATTTTGGATGAGAACCTGAAGGGGTCTAGATAAGCAAGGTAAGTTAACTGGGTAGCTATATTTGCGCGTTTTCTTCATGTTTCCAGTTTTATTTGGGTTTTGGGGAATTTCTGTGCTGGAATGTGTGCGGTTTGGGAGTGTGGGAGCCCGTTGTAACGGATTACTGCTCAAGCGCTACCAGTTAACGTTAACCTCTATCAGACTTACGTGTTATTACATTGCAGACCTGAAAATAACGTTATATCCACACCTCCTCTAATTAGTGAATTCTGCTGGTGAACTTATTGCTTACACAGCTTGTATAATCTCCATAGAAAAGCCCTGCCAATACAATTGTATGCTATATAGCAGCCGCACACGGTCAGTCCAACGCCTGGGCTGTGGAGCGGTGGAGCTGCCCTCTCTGGAGCTCCATCCAGGACTTTTGGGATAAGTTGGAGTGGCGTTTGTGATCCAGTGCTAATCATCCAACATCAGTACCTGGCCTCACTAATGCTCTTGTGGCTGAATGTAATCAAATCTTCACAGCAACGTTCCAACATTTCGTATAAAGCCTTTCCAGAAGATCAGGAACTGTTACTCAGGGACGGATTTAGTGATCTTAGGGCTCTAGGCAAAAAAGAGGAAAGGGGGGCCACTGGATGCACAGATTTAAATTAGTTGAGGCTCTGGGCTCCTGATTGGTGCAGTTGTCTACACTTTAAAAATGAAATTTTGGCAAATAAAATTATCTTAAATCTATTTAATATATGTCACTTTTGAGTTTGTTCTAAGAACATTTATATGACTTTTTTTCTAGACATTTTTTACTTAAATAATGTTAAGTGAGAAGATCTCACTATATTGGCCGACAAATAGCAGATATTTCCAAAATGTGTGTGTATGTATGTATGTATGTATGTATGTGTGTGTGTATTTTTATATATATATATATATATATGTGTGTGTGTGTATATATGTATATATGAATATATATAAATATGTTATTTAACATCAACACATACAGAGTTTCTATTTTGTATTATCATGGGGCCCTTGCCTCATAGGGACCCTAGGTGGCTACCTGCTTTTGCCTAGTGCAAAGACTGCCCCAGATGTTACTGCAGCAAACGGGGGGCAAACTCCCTGTTAATACCCTTGATTCAAAGAATGTTATGTGAGCAGTTGTCTACAAACTTTTGGACATAAAGTGCGCTTTTGATCAGAGTTTAAATGGTCACAGATTTTTTTTATTCAGGTTTTACTTGTTCTCTATTTTTTGGAACAGTACTAGAGCTGATGAGGAGGTGATGAAGTACTCAGTTTGAGAGAAGTGAAGGGCAACAGTGAGGGCAATGACGCTACGTAGAGGTAAGTAACAAGAAAATGAATAGCTAGAAATGACTCTAGCTGTTCTCCTCTGCCAAATTTCATTTAATTTACATCAGGTTGGATTAAAGAGGACTTCCACCAATTTATGTATAATTGAATGGATGAGATGAATTATAGTTGATGTCATTCAAATGTCATTGGTTTGGTGTGAAATGGTTCATTGGAAAGAAACACACAGACGCGTATTTCTTTACAGGGAACCAGGGTTGCAATATCTACAAAGCAAATTTTACTTTAATTTACTAACCGAAACAACCAGAGAAGCTTCACGTCTTCTGAATTTTTATATGTAATGTCGATGGTAAAATAGTGGTAAATCTGAAAGAATAAGTTTTCTTCAAGTTTCTGCCTTACGGTGCCCTGCATGTACCCCTAAATGCTCCATTTGAGAGAAATTTACTAGGTCAGAATTGTTCACAGTGGTGGTGATAGCAACCAGATGTCTTAAGAGCCTCTAAAAGCTCCCTCACAGAAAACTGTAGCACAAAATGACTACAAATATTGCCTGATGTCTGAGATGTTTAACGGTAGTTTTGACCTAAAATGTATTTTAAAATCAATTCATGGCAGAGAGTTACATGCAGGGTGTTGTCAGGCAAAAAAAACAGTACCTAAAGATTTTTTTTTTCCAGATTTACCACTATTTTGCCATCGTTAACAAGGAATTCCATGTTAAATTAATTCCCTGTTAAATTAATTCTAGTTCTCTTTTGTTTCAGTGAACGTGGTCATCCTTGTGCTGCTGTCAATAGCCTTTTTAATAATTGTACATCGAAATCTGCTGAATCTCAGTGATTTCCTAAGACAGGACAATTCAGGTACTTTCTTTCTGTCTTTCTTTCTTTCTTTCTTTCTTTCTTTCTTTTTAAATACACCTGTGAGTATTTCTCTGTGTTGTTCAAATGCATGGTTTTGTTGTTGTACCGTCATGTGGATCTTCTTGTCTGCCTACCATTTCTAGATGTAGCACCAGGTATGATACTGCCCTTCGAAACTGGATTCTTCTCGGATCGTAAAGTCAAGACAGGAGCGGAGATCCCGGTGGTCATCACAGCTGCGGAGGAGAGGCTGGGGGCCGCTGTGGCTGCCATGAACAGCGTGAAACAAAACAGCAAGGCCAATGTGGTTTTCAGCATAGTGACTCTGAATGAGTCTGTGGAGCATCTCAGGTAAGAGCCATATACACAGTACAGTGACCTGAAATGCCATGTACAGTAGTGTCCGACAGTCAGAGACCACGCTTGGTTTATTTAATTTCCAGTCAAAACAATCATTAAATACACATTATTTTTCAGCATGAGGGGGGAGAAAGCATATACCTACTATTGGAACAAAACCTTGTATCTGAAAATGATAACTTTACAGCAGAAGCAATAAACCTGCTTTAAGTCAGTGTGATCATCATAAATTTTGCACACAATGTAAAAGGCAACAGGCATTTTCAAATTATTTAAAGAACTGAAAAACAACAAAAATGGAGATAAAAGGTTTTGTTCTGACCACAAAAACATATTAAGAAAAAATTACACACTCAACGACTAATTATAATATCATTTTTTTAGTATTTAATATGTCCACCGTTTGCCTTTATTATAGCTTCTGTTCATTTTCAGAGACTTGCTTTCAGTTTTTCAATCTGCAGGATTTTTTCCACACCTCCAAAGTTCAGTCTTAGAAGCTGGTTGCAATTTCTGCTTCTCACGATTCCAAGTAATCCCAAACACATTTAATGATGTTGAGGTCTGCACTCTGGGGTGGTCAGTCTGTTGTTTTGAGAACACCTTTTTTTCTCAGCTTCTTGACATCATTTTGGACACATTTTGGACATTAGCGTTGTCTGATGAACAGAAACATCAGTTTATTTTTTTTTCAGATCTAAAGCAAGAGTGGAGCTTGATTTTCTCCTCTCTCTCAAATATGAAAGCTTTAAGTGCTGTTTATCTGATGATGATAGTTTGGGTGTCTACCAGATCTACCTCTGTTGATAGGAGTCCCATTTTTGTCTGTATCTTTTAATCATTTTTTGACCTCCAGTTTTTGAAACCCCTGTTGTTTTTTCAGTTATTTTCTTTTGAATTTCTGCTTCCTTATACAAGTAGATTATCTTATATCTGATCCCCTCCTAAAAATGAATAATATACCATTTTGACTGGAAATTAAAAAGTCTCTCATTTATTTGCAGTCAAGGTCAGTTCTCCATCGTCAAGTTAATTGTGTTCTTATGTACATGAAATTCCAGCAGTGGTCAAATTGATGGCACTTAAGCTTTTTTCAACTTGCTGTATGTCTGCTACATCTGTAGCATATGGCTGATTACCACTAAGGCTGGGCAGTGTGGCAAAAAACATAATAAGATGATACGTTAAGAAATTCTCATGATACAGTGTTACAATTTTTTTCTGACATCTGATTAGTTAGAACAGACAAATAAGAACCGGCAATTGCCGCTTTGAAAAATGTACAATTTAAAACTATGAGTACAATTTTTATCCAGTACTTCACACACAGCACAGCACTAATTCCAATTAAACATGATAAATTATGCTCTTTTTGTAATGAATCATACAGTCAGTTGGTCAGCGTTATTTGGGCTGATGCTGATATCCACAACGTAACTGACATTGTGTTGGGTTGTGATGTAATTATTTGTGATAACAGTATATATCGACATGTTGCCCTGCTCCAATGACCAGAGACCAAAATTTTAGTTTTCCTGTACTTAGAAAAGTGTTTTTTACAGGCTCCTGCTTAAAAAACTGAATTTATCTCAAATACTTTCACTCTGTTGCTCCAATATTTAAAAGTTGGATAAATCTTTAAGAACAGCTTTGGTGAGAAGTGCTTTTCCAAATACCGTCGTATGAATTTGTTTATTCAGATGCAACTATTGTGGCATACTATATAGGTGGGATGTGCACAAATTCAAACAGGGCAGTTCTCTCATGCCTGTCTCATAATAAGACATGCACAGGTTTTGTAGTTTTGTGTTAAATAGGTTCAAATGTTTATTCATGGAATTCAGCAACTGCCTTTTGGATTCTATTGAGTTCTGAATTAACAGGTTTTCAGATCTGTTCAAAGTACAGGGAAACAATACAATAACCGTTGGTGGTAATCGATGGTATGCAACACATGCAGCAGATAGAGTTGATGCAGCAGATAGAGATTAGGTTAAAAAAAACAATAGAATACTCCTTTAATTAGTTTGTATTCATGTATGTATCATGTGTGGTCATATCTTGTCAGGACCTGGTTAAGTAAGACTGACATCAAACATAAAATCATCACATTTGAGCCCAAGATCCTTGAGGGGAAGATTTCACAAGATCCACAAAAGGCAGATTTGGTGAAACCGGTAATTACGTAAGAATGTTCTGAAATACTGGGCATAGTATGTTGTGGGAATATGAATTCCTCATCTTGGGCATGTTTGTTTTTCAGCTAACCTTTGCTAGATTCTACATGCCAGTGTTCTTACCTGATGCTGAGAAAGCAATTTACCTGGACGATGATGTTATAGTACAAGGTAAGAGCCACTTGGGAAGTTTGTTTGGGGCCTGCTTGGTCCCATGAAGTAGGATTTCTTGCTTAGCCATTTAACTATAAGCTTATCTTACAACAGTGGATCACTTTACTGGGATACATCACCATGGCAGTTTGTGGTCCATGTGTAACCTGCTCCAGGACAGATTAATCGCAATTTTTTAACTAGAAAATATAGGGCTAATTATTTTTAGATATCACCTAGGCCTAATGTGCACACCCGCAAGGATTAATCTTAGCTTAAATACGCTGTAATGTAAAAAAAAAAGGTACAAAGTTTAGCAGCAGAGCAAAACCTGCTAATTAACAGTAAAAGTATATGTTCAGTGATGATAGAAATCATAAAATTGCTGTCATTTAATTTTTTTTTTTTTTTAATACTGCCTTTTAGTGTTTTTGCGAATTTACATTCTATTTCTGGAAATTAACAGCAGCATTAAAATGCAGTGTATGCAGTTTATTTACATAGATTTAACGTTTTTTCCTCAAATAATGGGTGTTCACCATTCAGTTTTATAGTACTTTGACAGTGAAAATTCTTTTTTTTTTTTCATTGTATCCAAACCTGGCTTAAAACAGAAAGTTATTAAACAGCCTTATAAAACAAGTTAACCATGGCTGCATTTGTCAGGCACACTGGTGATATGAAATGCACTTTTCTATTGCAGGAGACATTCAGGAACTTTTTGACACAAGCCTGAAGGCTGGACACGCAGCTGCTTTTTCAGAGGACTGTGACTCTGCGTCCTCCAAAGGATTTGTTAGAGGAGCAGGAAACCAGGTAAATATCAGTCAAATGAATTGGTATTTGAATGGAATCAAATCAGTCCCCCTGACCAGAAAGCTAATGATGATGCAGCACACAGTTGCCAAGGAAACTGATATTGAACACCGAAGGTGAAAAAACAACCATGGTATTACTCAAATGTTTATACAGAAATGTGTAGCTGTACAAAAGGGTGATCATTCTTGTACTGTACCTTTTAGGCATCTTGACTGTACACATGCGCAAATATGCTTTTGTCTATTACAGAACAATTATATTGGCTTTCTGGACTTCAAAAAAGAAGCTATTAAGAAACTGGGAATGAGAGCAAACACATGTTCTTTCAATCCTGGAGTCATCGTGGCAAACTTAACCGAATGGAAACACCAAAACATCACCCGGCAGCTGGAACAGTGGATGGAGCGTAATGTCAAGTGAGTGGGTTAAATGCTATTGTGAATTAGATTGTAGGAAACAATGGAAAGTATTCAAACGTAGAAGCATAAATCAAAAGAAATTACAATGCATCTCACTTAAAGGGGCATTCCGACATGAAACTAACATTTCATATGTTATTTGTTATGTTGTGTTCTGTAGCACCCAACCAACCTAATGGTTTTGACAGAATTCATGTTTATCGTGTTTTTGTCCATCTTCTTTCAATTCAGTACTTAGCATGCACACATAAAACAAACACTGGGAGTCCCTGCAGTGCAACTGGTCAACAAACTGTTTTATTATGAGGGAAATCACACGTCTGATATATACGATGGCGTTTTAGGGCCACTGTTAATAAAAATAGTAGACTTTGAGAGAAAAAAAGTCGTACTATTTCGAGAAAAAAACGTAACGCCCTTCATTTTAACACGAGGAGGTGCTGCCTTCCTTTTGCAAAGCCTTTGGCCACAATATTACGTTCTTCTTGGTATTAATGCCACTTTAATGTCGTAATTCTACGACTTTTTTTCTAGAAATAGTACGACTTTATTCTCTTAATAACATACCGTGCGACTTTATTCTCAAAATATTATGACTTTTTTTTTCTTGAAATTACGACTTTATTCTCGAAGTCTACTATTTTTATTTTTATTAACAGTGGCCCTAAAACGCCATCGTAGATATACGCATTGAACATTGTATAAATAATGTAGAACTCCTGCCTCAGTATATACATATCATAAAACTCAAAGCCATGCTGTAAAATGAGAATTGTAACACTACTAGCTTCTTGGTTGACGTCATGCAGACCTAGAGTTTTGTAGTCATTAACGATGGCATTTATTATATATTCTATCTCTAATCTGTTCCTTCAGGGAAGACCTCTACAGCAGAACTCTAGCAGACAGCTTCACTACACCTCCCCTGCTTATTGTATTCTACAAGCACCACTCCAGCATTGACCCCATGTGGCATGTCAGGCATCTCGGTAAGAATTTTCTCTCATTTAAATCAGTAGCCTGAAACAAAACAATATTGAAGAAAGTTCCACACTGGTTGTGTTTACATGCAAAGATTTTTGCCAATCTGATTGAATACATTCCGATCCTAGATTAAGACTGAGGTGTTTATATTCACTCTACTCAACAGTCTGATGAAAATCTCCATTTACATGCTCACTACAAGTAATCCGATCCAAAATGGCGCACAGGCATAGAGCACCACTTAGTGTAGATGTTACCCTGACAATGAGCATCACGTGAGTCCAGGCAGAGGGAGACGAGCTGCAGTGTCTTACCTGAGTTTTTAGTTGGTTTGCTTTTGTTTTTAATTGCTTTAAAATGATGTCAGACTCAGGAAAACGTACTTCACATGTTTTTATTAAAGAAGGCCGAGAGGAAGACGTCGTGTTCTGAGACACGTAAGCTGGACGCCCGCCCGACTGCCGCCTTATAATGTTCAAGGCATAAACGTCTCCTCTGCAAACCAGTGGAAACCCTTATCAACCACCTAGCAACAGTTTGGGATACCATAGCAACGACTTAGCACAATATTAACCACCTGGCTTCCTATAGCAACCACCAAGCAACAATCTGGAACTTGCTTAAGCTCTGCTGTCACAGAAAATGCACTACTCTAGTTTAAATAGGCATCCAAGGTCAGCAGCTGTGAATGTGGGTCATTTTAGGGCAGAGGTGCGTTCACACAAACAACAAATACGGGTCATATACAAATGTGAATATAACCCATTATGGTCATACTGAGTCAAGTCCAGAGATCTGATTTGAAATCAGATTTAAATCCACATACATCTTGAATCTGACAGGAACCTTTTTTATTTTTATTTTTTTGCAGAATATCTTTTATGCGCTAATCAAATATTCCAAAACATGGCATTTGGGTTGTCTGAACAAAGCCTTAGGGAGTAATAATGCCATCCTATTCAACTTCTCATTTTGAGTTTTGTTCTTCTGATCTAGGATCAGTTCTTGCCTTTTATATTCTAATGCAGTGGTCTCTAAAACCTGGTCCTGGACGGCTACCTTCCTGCAGAGTTTAGTTCCAACCTCTATCCAGTAAGCTGCTCCGCCCCTTACTTAATTCTAATACATGTGATTCAGCCAATCAGGGACTTGGGAAGAAGTTGTTTGTTGGAGCAGGAGTGGCAAATTATGGTTGGAGCCAGGCTCTGGAGAAAGGTAGCTCTCCAGGACCAGGGGTTGAGACCACTGTTCTAATGAACACAGACACCTCAGCTGTTAGATTTTTGATCAATCTGGGCCTAAGTGAACCACAAACAGCTTGAAAGTTTTTGATTTACTGTTCAAATCTGTCTTCAGGAGCCACTGGAGCTGGAAATCGTTACTCTCCACAGTTCGTCAAAGCTGCCAAACTGCTCCACTGGAACGGACACTTTAAGCCATGGGGCAGAACCTCCTCGTTCTCTGATGTTTGGGACAAGTGGTACATTCCAGATCCCACAGGGAAATTTCATCCAATTAGAAGACACTCAGGGGACAAATAAACCTGGATTCGAATTACAGGGGCACTTTGCACAACTATTGCAGTTCGCAACAACGACCTACTTTGTTGCATCTGAACATCTAGCCTACTGTACAGTATTTTGCAGTTCTACAGAGTATTTTAAGCCCAGTTAGGGAAAGATAGGAATAGGATAACATAGCTGCCTCTGGCCTCTTCAGTGATGACCATTCTGGGTGACATTCCTTTGGAAAACGATGTTTAATATTGTTTTGTAACTGTGTCAATTTTTTTTCCCTTTTCACACTAGGTCTCAGCTAACTCTAAGGACAGAAGGTACCTAGAGGATAGTTCATAGGAAACTAAAATGCTACCTCAGCGCTCAGTGTGTGCAGTATGTGTGTTGAAACAAAAGGTCCAGGGTTTCTTTTTTGCATCACTTTTTCTGTAACCCACTACGTTGCTCAAATGTACTCTATTGCAGTTATGACACTCACCCCATGACCTGTTACACTAACCTTTGCCTTTTAATTTTGTAGCTTTCCAAGCTTGGAACAAAACCACTGACAATGTTACGCATCAGATTTGTTGCTTATTTTCCTTAATTTAGATTTACTTACAGTATAAAGTAAAAGCATGCATTTTGTGTTGTGCTCATATCTATGAGCAAGTTAAATGCCAGAGCAACAGCCATCCCCACTACATATTTTACTTCTCTGTTGTTGGGGACAGAGTGCCAATTTGTATATAGAGAAGCGATTATGTATTTATGCATTGAATAAAGTTGAATAAAATTGGTAGTCATTTGTATTTTCTTTTTTTTTCATTTAAAAAAAAAAAGACATTTTCATTGTAACTTTCTTTAAAGCAGGGCTGGGCTATATATTGTCTTTACTGGTATGCCATGACAGTGCTTTTCAGGCTTCGCAACATTTTAAACTTTATACTTGGAGTATTACAGTGCCCACTTGATTTCCAGGATTTGACAGTTACCTGTATGTGCTGGCTGCTTCAGACTGTTCTAAAAGAATTTTAAATCCAGAAAAACTAAATAAATAGTATGTTTCCTTTCTGGCTAATGATTTACATTAATGTGTCTGTTCACCTTGGTGTAATAAAAAAGAATACAAAATAAAACTATGCAGTAAAAACAAGGTGTCAAGCTTGTAAAATATTCTTTTAGCATATGAGTAGCAGAACTGAGAGTCAGGGCTCATTTAGTTTATTAATAGTAACTTAAATACTAAATGTTTGGAAAATAGAATCTTGTATTTTATCAATATTGCCAAGCCTTAGTTTACAGGTATAGTAAGTAGAAATGTTTATCATAATTTATTAGGGGTAACACTGAATACACAATGACTAGAGGCAACAGTCACAAATCAGGCCAAAAATTGAGAATAGTTTACTGAATATTATGCACCCTGAGTAAATTATTACTTCAAACTGAAAACAAAGCTACAGTTGTAGAGAAAAGTCTGAACACCCTGCATGAAATTCACATTGTTTTTCTTTTAAGAAAACAAATGTGCCACCTTCTACAGGGAACCAACTTAGATCTGGCATTTTTCTGCAAACTTCAGTGCATTAGTTCTATTTATATGCTGAGCATAATATATTATTGTTATTCAGCAAATAAACAGTAACTTCCTTAAAATGTACAGAAGTGTGTGTTAGAAAATCAACAAAACATGTAATCTGACACCCAAAATTTTTACTATGTGGATGAAAAGTGAAAACATCTGTGATAGTTTTCACTAAAAAAATGCCTGTTAGGAATAAAAACCTCCACTAACAGTTTGGACGAGATGCCATCACAATCAGGGAGGCAGTAAGGCTATAAAAGACAGGGTAGATGTACTTTTGTGCAACTGTATGATTGTGTTCACTACTAGCATTTGAATATATCAGATATATTGAAAAAAAATAGTAAAGAAAAATAACTTCGATTTTTAGTTGTCATTTATTGCAACACTGGCGGTTCCTTAACACTTCATGGTTCTTTAGACCCATAAAAAGAGGCACCAATCAGAAACATTCTATACAACACAGAAGGCTGCAAGTTTAATCATCTGTATCATATATACAACGTCATATCAGACTGACAGAAAAATGTTTTTACCAAGATCTATTCCAGTCAAATGATGAAACAGACACAAACATACTGTATCCACATAAATGACTGAAATACTGACTGACTCGCGCACACATGAAATCTGTTCTCTCAGTAGACATGAGATTTTATACAAAGTCTGTGTTGAAATCATATGCATCATCCTTGTTCTGCTGTGAAGCCAACACATCAATGTTGACAAACGCAGGCTTTGCCTTTCCTTTCGTTCTCTTACCTGTGATCGACAAAGAAACATTAGTGGAAATGTTCATAACAGAAATAATTATTTTTAAATACTGTCTTGTGGTTTATAAGGTGCAAACATTTCCCAGCTGCAAATTCAGGTCAGAAAACTGTAGTCTGTGAGAAAATTACTTACGTGAGCTTTTCTGTTGAGATTTCTGAGGCTGTGCCATATGTGAATCAGGAGTCTCAGCCTAAAAAGTGTCAACCATAAAAATGAAAAATTAATACTCACTGATAACCACCAGCACAGGTGAACGGATATATAAAGTCAGGCAAATGTGACTCCCCTTTTTAGCTCCACATGTAGAAGTGGACACAGGGCTGTGATCAGTTAAGTAGATGAGATCAGAGTTGGATTATTATGTCATCAAAAACATATGTGACACAATGAACTCATCATGACTCATCATAGCCATAACCATCACAGTGTAGACAGGTTTCCAAAACATAAAATAAACTTCATCTTGGACTGAAAAGGTTTTTGAACTGGCCAAGATACCTAGTGGTCAGGAAACAGCTCTACCAAAATCAGCTGTTTTCCAGTCTCTGTCGTTGTAATAGATCAGTTCTCTGCCAGTTGTACTAAGAGTGTGGCAGCACACATTGAAATAGTTTGGCTCTGAGATTTCCAGACTTGCAGAGACTCAGACACTTGAGCAAGAGAACACAGAAGGGAGTGCATTACTCTGATTGTTATTTGTGATAAGACACAACCTCTGGTGTTCTATTGCATAGCTCCACCACAGGTGGTGTGCTGCTGTACAAGAAACTATGATTAACTTAACAACAACTTAGAATAAAGCAACACCACAGATATGGTGGAAGAAAGTACTACTATCACATATAAAAGACTTGTCAATCAGGGCTGGGTTTCCTAAAAGCATCTTGCAAAAAGATGATTCTTATATGGTAGGTAGATAATCTTAAAACTAAGATGCTATTTGGAAACTGGGCTCTGATTGTGTGACTAGAACTAACCATTATATAATTGATCATTTTCAGTTCAGGGATCGAACTTGTGATCTCCCAATGAGAGAGCCAACACTCTTTTTCACTTTTTAATGAACACATTATAGTGTAATATAGCAGAACATTTCCATGATTGTTTCTCACAAGTGACTCACGAATGAAAAATGAGGGGGGAGTATATTTTGCACGTGTATTCTGCTCTTGGCAAGAAATTAACTTGAAGCATGATGGCTGACCGTTCACAGTTCACATACCAGCATTCAGACAAACTTTAACTCAAACAGCAGAAACAAAAAAGTTTTCATATTACACTTTAGGCTGGATGTACACTACATGACTTAAAATCCTAAGATCCTAGATTTCTAAAACAGAGAGTATCACAAATTTAATGTCAGTTTGTCACAGAATTTCTTGTCTTTTTGTTGTGAGGGCACCGACACAAGATGACAAGGCAAAGAGGGAGTGTAACACACATCTTGGACTATGAACTCAAACTCCCAGATCTCCTCAGAAATCACATGACACAAACAAAGCTAAACTTACTGCACTGGAGCTGTTTGTAATTTTATGCACACGCTGAGAAGTGCTGATACAGTGAGAGCTGGAGAAATATTTCACTATTAACTGATAGCTGAGCTGAAATTGTAAGCCTTGACGTCTAGATTCAAACATTATAAACATGACAACGTTTATAACATTTTACACGCACCTCCTCTGTCTCCACGCTCCACTGTTCAGGGCTGTGCATGCATGTCTCTTTGCCTGTTTCTCCGCTCTTCTAGCTCTCTGATTGGCTGTTGTTTGAATTACTCAGTGAGTAATTCTCTGACTTTCACACTCTACAGGACTCATGAACGTTTTGAGTCAAAAAATATCAAACGTTTGATATTTACGACTCATTACGACTTGATATTTATTGATATAATATTGGAGGACTTGATATTTATTGATATAATATTGGAGGGCTAAAGATTCCGCACCGTCAGTCACCTCCAAACAAGCTTCCGACCTGGAAAATCGCTTCAGATTGTGAAAATGTGTTGCAAGAGGCAAATCGGGCTTAAAATCCGGCAAAAAATTGTGTAGCGTAGGGCCAGTCTTAAAGTAATTTCCCACTGCAAAACACATGTACAGTAGTGGCATAAGCAGAACACTAAAACCAAGACACAAAGGATTGGAACTTGGTCTGACTTAATACAAGTCAATACTTGATCCATGTCTCGACGTGTAAAATATGGAAAATTTGGGCTCTACCTCCTCAGTGTCCTCAATCTGCTCTGCGTCCTCTGTTTGCTCAGTGATGTCCTCCTCTTGCTGTTCCTCATCTACTGAAGCAGGTGTTTCAGCTGGAACCTCAGTGAAGCTCAGAAGTCCATCAGTCATGCCCTTCGAGTTAAACAGAATGCTGCTGGCCGCATTTGGGGGTCTAATACCTAAAAAAAATATTTTCAGTTTAGTGTCTGTGATAAACCAAACAATACCATAATATCTGTTGTTAAACAATAAAACTTATTCAGTTAAGCAGCATTTACTTTTTTCACCTTCTGAGAATATGATACACACAAGTCTATAAGAAAAATAGAGAGGGAACATACGTGTGATGATATGCTCATTGGCCATCTTCATTTTGCCCAAGTCCACACCCGTCCGCAGCTCTGTAACCATGGCTTCAGTGAGGTACTGGGGGAGGCCCTGCCTCTCTGGTACTTTGCTATAGTAGTTCAGTTTAGCCCTGATAGATACAGAGGCAGAGACATACACACAGATGACCTTCACCATAATTAAATTGTTAGATGTGCTTTTAACATCATCTGACTTTACATTTAATAGGAACCTGAATCAGCTGTTACCTGTTATATCATAAATCCTATTAGGTTTCAGATAAATGTGTAAAAGAAATTCAGCGTGCTAGCCCTTGGCAATTTCACATATTTCAAACAAACAGTGGAAATGAAAGTTTTAGATGTGTGCAGAAAGAAGAAAAAAGCTGTAGATGATTCTAAAATGTCTGAGAAAGCAGTATAACATCAAAAATGAAGTTACAATAAATTTCACATCCAGAATTCACCATATTTGAAAAGCAATCAAATATCAAGGTAGACAGCTTAACAAAGTTACTGCCTATTTTAAATAGGTACATCCAATATATAATTTGCAGTCTATAATAACAATCCTTGAAATTGAATTAAATATCTAAAAGTACTAGCGATGCACTGAAATGAAAATTCTGAGCTGAAAATTAAACAAATTCAAGACACACCTGGCTGAAAAGAAGGTTTTTTTTTTAATTAACTGTGTAATGTGTATATGCTTTTGGACAAAACAACTACATTTAAAAATCTACATTAAAGAAAATACACTTTTATTATTGCTAAAATCTGCATTCAGAAGGACTAAACTGAACTGACAAATAAAAACATTTTATATACAATAAACTTCCTAAATGTATTACAGCATATTGGTCATCCAACAGCATGAATTCCATTATTTTTATATTATGTCTGCACTTTGGCCATGTTGTTAATAAATTGTTTCAGCATTTCAAAAACTGGCTGCAGATTACATTGCGTGCTAGCAGGAATGTTTCTTTGTGTTCTGTTTTCAAGTGGTATCAAATCGGCGGTTTGATTTCTCCAGCGTTGCATCTCCTCTTAATACCTGGGATGAAGACGGATTATAAATCTCTTGACTAATGTACCTCATAGAAACTGTGAAATAATTCCACACGGCCAATGTTATTATTATTATTATTATTTTTTTTTTTTTTTTACACTTTATCAGCTGTTGCTCAAACCGTTTGAACAACTCTGGGCTGACCAGTGGAAGAAAACACTAGTTTCAAACAAACTGTTTCTCGTTTTTAATATTATTCAATGATTTGTCAATTGTTCAATTTTGACACTTAGTTGTAGAACTATTTGATATACATATATTTTTTGCCAAAATATTTTCTGTCTTTTGTCTAAAAAAACAAACAAACCAAAAAAGAATCAATTTTGGCTGAAATGTTTGTTTCTAAAATTTCAGCACATCTCTAAAATTATGTGATCTCTCGTTTACAGGATTTAAGTCTACATTTGATAAGCTATTATATTATCTTTGTACATACAATAAATTGTTACCATAAGTGATTCCAAACTATTAACAGCAGTGTGTATATGAGCACCACTGTCAGCAACCATTCAGTCAAATATGCTTAAGTTGACAATGAGGTTGCGACACTCAACTGTTAACACTTTTCTACCACTAGGAAGTAGGTCCTTGTGTAAGCAAACCGTCACGCACAAACAAAAAAATATATAAGATCACATTTGTGCTTAGAAATGTATGTGTGATTTACGCACAGCTGATTAATGAGATCTGCGTTCTTTTACTTACCCTGTCCAGTCATTGAGAAACGCAGTGGCAGCCTGCTCCGTGTTTGGCAGAGCACCTTTCTGCAGGAAACCTCGCTTTTTGGCATAGCAAGTCAAAAACTCCAGAGAATTTCTGTAATTTGGGACATTGTACTCCAACATGACCTGAAGAGAATATAGAGAAAAGCTGTTTCATTATTTAAATATAAATCATTTGAATGCAGACAATAGCTTTTTTCCTGTTGTTAAGGCCAGCGTGCGCTTCTGGGTTGAATCTGTATACATTCAAAAGCTTACCAACCCAACAGACAGAATATTCTGACAAGGTCAAATTCCAGCTAAAATTCATTTCATAAACAAATGAAAAGCAATGGTTGGAACTGTGAAGCATTGCTTTGTATTGCTGCATACAAGGTGACACACCAGTTAATAAATAAACTTTAGTTAATAAAGTGAAGCTTAAAGAATACAGCATTTTTCACACAGAAATGCCATGCTATTGACATTTCAAATGAGTAAACAGATGAAACTAAAAATGTGCAAAATGAATAAAAAATTAGACTGTAGTACTGCTGGTTCTACTCACCTGCCGCTGGTTGCACTCTTTCAGCAGAGTCTTAACTGCTTCTAGAGGACTCTTCTCATTTTCTTCCACTTGTAGGCTCCTCAAAGCCAGCTTGACACCAGAGTTACACTGAGCTGCCACTATTGCTGGACTGTCAATCATCTTCACCTTCTTGGAGAGATGCACTTCCTGCATACATCTGTATAGGGAAGCAGTAATATGTGTGTGAACCAGGCATATATATCTAAACAGTTTTCAGAGAAAGTAACTACTGGGTTCTTTGAACTTCAGGGTTGGATTGAATGCAGACTCCATGGTTTTGGTCAGATCAATACAGCTCATCATTGTTCAAAGATACCCATAGTTTAAGCCAGAAATATGGCAAATCCAGTCACTATGTTTGCATGCACATAACCGCCTGACTTCGTAAAAAACTGAACCAAGAAAATTAGATGACATTCATTTATAGTCATGTACACCAGCACAGTCTGATTATCAGTAAACAACCCCTTCACACGTTTACCCATGAGTATCCTGCCATTTAAAATTAATGGTGTTCCTTTTTTTTTTTCAATACTTCAATTTTAATATATGATTATGTTTATATCTGACTAAACATGAAATAATGCAAAAAGGCTGTGTGAGACAGAGTAAAGTAGTTTTAGTCTAACCAGTATAATAATAATAATAATAATAATAATAATAATAATAATAATTATAATAAAAATAATAATAATAAAATTATTTTAATTATCTGTTGATACCAATATTATTCTGATCATGGTGCATCCCTAGAGACCAGAGACCTGCTCAGAGGGTCTCAAGTCTGCTTATTTGATGCGCACTGGTGTTTGGACAGCAGCATTCTCACTGTCTCTTGCTCACTCACACTTACAGAGCAATCACAACAGGGTTCGTTTTAACTGAACCAAACCTGCCTTGTCATATCTCCTCTGCCTTATTTTTACCTTGATGTCCTCTGTTCTAAAACAAACATGACTCAGGTTACTGAAAGCTACAGAATACTCATTACCTGGCTTAAGTGTAGTACTGAACACATCTGCAGACTTGCTGGCATAAACTTAACGTGGAACCTCTGAAGTAGAAATACAACAAGGTTCTAAAATAAACTCACTTGGTCAGTCCTCGCGGTACTCCAGCAATACAGACCCTGCTGCCCTTCAGGGTGTTAATGATACTGCTCTTTCCCACACTAGGAAAACCTGTACAGGCAAAACAGAATTATCTTGAAGGTTTCCTTGACTTAAAGAAATTCCAGATAATTTGCTTGAATTCAAGCACAAAGATTTTATAATAGCAAAATTAAAGGCAAAAAGAAATCAGTTATGACTTAAGTGAACTTCAACACTATGGCTCTCTCGGCAAAGATCCATAACAGGAAATGGTTGTGTTCATAATGTGTTAAATTAAGCAGTCTTACCAACAACAGCAACTTTGAGCATACTCTCTCCATCTCGCTTGCTGGCCAAGTCAGTAAGTGTCTGCATCAGAGAATTACAGCCATAGGAAGCTCCTGCTCTGCTGAGGTCGACTTTTCCACTAACAGCAGCCTGTTTCTTCTCCAGCTATAACAATCCAACAGAGTATACAACTACTACATGATCATTCACAAAAAAAAACATTTCCCTAGTCAGAGACTGGATAGCCATACAGTTTACAGTAAGGGATGAGCATGGCTATATTCAGAGATCCAAATGCAACTTAATATTAACATTTCACTTAAGCATTTTTAAAACTTGGGAATTTCAGAAGTTTAGATGAAAAAAATAAATACTGTACTATGTGTGTGTGTATACACACACATACATATACATAAATAACGAGACCCACTGATAGATGAAAACAATACTGATACAAATGCTCAATTATGTAAAACCCATGAGGCTGAGGGATGCAATGCTGCGCTCAATATATTAGAAAACATGTCAAATAACAGTTTTAAAATGCTAGTTTTAGGCCTGAATGCCCCTTTATATCACACATAAATCACAAAGATAAATTGCTAATTTGAACAATCAGGAACAGATAAGCTCTCACACTAGTTGAATGTGAAATGTTAAACCTTCTGTGTGTTTTCATTTTTCATTCATAGGATTTTTCATTTTTCATTATTAATTTAAAAATGTGGCTATTTCTATAGCAAAACTGGTTTATATGTCCATCCTTAGTTACATGTTGCATATTTTGTACTTCTCCTGCTCTGACAGACTGAATTCAGCAAAGAAAGGGCTTTCTAATTTTATTGTATTTATAATTTTATTTAGTTATAATTTCAATCAGATGTGTATGAAATGGGAAAACTTTAAACTTGCAGCACAATGGTAACTGAAAACTCAGACTAAGAATTTATTTAGACATAATCTATATATAATTTATACATACCACAGTTCTATCCTGTAGGTGTGTGGATGATTTAAATACGAACGTTGGACATTCTGCTTGAAGATATCCAAGCCACTTCTCCAGATTGTCTCTGGGTACAAGATCTAAACGAAGGAAAAAACACGGCCAGTAAATAATCTAATTAATGTCAATAGATCAACTTTTTTCTAGATCATATGTCACATTTGAACAAACTTGACAGTACAGTGAGATTAAGAACAGTACAGAGAACACATACCTATCTTTGTTAGTACAAACAACAGTCTTTTTTTCCCTTCATGTTTCAACACGGCCTCCTCCAGTTGAGGACAGCGGCAACCCATAGGATCCCTCGCATCCAAAACTTCCAATACAACATCAGATGCTTCAATAACCTGGGGAACAGAAGTACACATACAGCAAATTTCAATCTCATAGCCAGTCATATCAGCACTTACAAAACTATCCTGACCCAAAATGAAAGCAATGGATTTCCAAATATCATATTACACAACATCACTGAAGTCCTCAGTTTGCTTTCTGTAGTTTTGACCAGTCTCAACCTGCAGCGAGCTGTTACAGACTCGCTTTTGTGGTTTCCGACATTGTATGACACTGGGCTGTCAGGGCTTCAAACCGGTTTAAGGAACAAAAATAAAACTGATTTTGCCAGGAATCAAAAAACAACACTGAAAATATTAATTATACTTAACAGTTCCAAAACATTAATATGGAATCTCTGTTACAAGATAATGTTAATTTTTTGTTCCATGTATGTGGAACGGTATGCTGTCTATTAAGTGATCATAAGCCCACCAAATTCGTTTTAAGCTGCATTTTAAGATAATGGAATTTCGATGTTTACTGTGAGTGTCACTGTACTGGGACAGTCAAAATCATGACTTTCAAACTTTAGAATCACAGTGCTCCAATCATCGCTTGGCATGCTGGCATTTCTTGGTCATAGATTTTATATTTGAATCCTCAGGAAATAAAGGCAAAAGACATGCTTTAGGACCTGTAAAAGCTAGTCCCAATGAACCAACAGAGTAGTGGTTGGTGTTTTCTACCTATTTCCAGAGCCCAGCACAAAAAGAAAGCATCAATCAATATGAACACAACTGTCAGAGCTAATACCTATTTAACACTATTAGGCCTACATACAGTCTATGTAAAAGAAATTAAATCAACTGGACTTTTTTGTTCTGTTCTTCTTTTATTATTTTTTTTTTGTTATTTTATCCTTTTTGTACATTTGGTGTAAGTTGTGTACATCTTATAGAAAACAGTCTTTAATTTCTTAAGTCTGAACTGTTAAATTACAGTTTATTTCTGTGAGTGAGTTTCACCTTTTTCAGCTCACTGCATCTGAACGCCTTGGTGCTCTTCTCCTTGGCAACAGCTGCCCTCACTTCCCTCTGAGCCTGTGCTTTTTTCTCCTAAGAAATCAATGACAGCATTAGAGGCAAATACTCAACAAAACATTTTAATCTTAAACACAGTCTTCATCTTAATTCACCTTTTTAGCTTTCTTTGTTTTGGGCTCCTCTTCTGCACTGGCTGTTTCTTTTTCTTTCTTTCTCTTCTCAGCTCGCTCCTTCTGCTTGGCTAGCCTGTTCTTTTCCTTCAGCTCTTCAAGCTGTGCCACAGATATAAAGAGATTTAGTCAGTTATGCAAGTTTGAACAGTTCATAAGGCAAAAAATAGGACTGCATGTCATTCAGTAGTACCTCTTGTTTTTTCTGCTCGGCTTCTTTTAGGACCTCCTCTTTAAAAGGAGCACTGTTTGGTACACCGATGTCTTTTTTGGTCCTTTGTTTTATTCCACTTTTCTTCGCCTCCTTCCGTAATTTTCTGTGGTGTTCTCTGACCTAAAATGTATTTAAAAAAAGAAAAGGAGAATAACACTTACTTACAGTTTATTGTTTACACCTTGCATTCAAACATGTTTTCAGTGATTGGATCATGGCCAGATTTCACATGACTGCATATAACAAGCCATATGTAAACCTACCCAGGAAACACTGTGATCAGATTATGATCCACAGACGGGTGGTCAGTTAGATCTTGACCACATTCAATAGAAGTATAAATGGAATGCTTTTCTATATCCACATGCAGTTACGCAAGTCTTAACTTCTCTCGTGTCTAAAAAGTCCTCTGGACAGTTGTGGCAGAGACCACCACAGAAGTCACAGCAGCTGCAAGACAAAGCCTTCTCCCCTCCAATGCAGACAATCCAGCCAATTCTAGGATATTGTATCCACAGATTTTCTGACATATTATTGCACACTATTACTGATTTATACCATCTCTAACTACAGTACGTGTCTGTATGTAATATGACTGTATATATACACATATATAACTGTCTGTGTGTGTGTGTGTATATATATATACATATAAAAAGTATAACTATCAAAATGTTACTTTAGCACGTGTAACTGAGCAAAACAGCTGACCTAAGTTGCTTTCACAACTGGTTCACCGACCATGTGCCTGACCGTTGACAATATTTGCCAGTCTACTTCTTTTTTGATCCTTTATTAAGACAGCTGAGACATTTTTACACATATTATACGCCGATATTGTAATTTATTGCTACACAGTATTACTACTGATTTATATAACCTAAGTTAACTAGGTTAGCTAACTTTGCGTAACTAGCAACGCTGAAACAGCAACAGAGAAACAGTAAAGCTCATTTATTTTCAGGTCCTCCATCTACAGTACTTACCTTTTTCTGAATTTTATAGCGTTTCGCGCAGGATACGCGCTTGCTCGCCTTCTTTAACTCTAAAAAGAAAGAGAAAATTCACTTCACGTTAACTCAGCATTGGCTAGCTAACGCTAGTTAGCTCGCACCGTGTTGTGCACGCGCAGCCACCTAGCAACCAAAAATAAGGTTTAACGTTAATGGTGTAAGTTGTACTGTAAACTAGACAGTTAAAACGCTTTCCCTCTGCTATTATTACTAACTGTATATGTAAAGTTAGCGGACTCACTCGGTCGCTTCATGGCTCCCTCTCGCTGCTGGTCTCACACACGTGGATGGTGCCGAAAGGAGCTCACCGTTTCCGTTTCCGTTAACCGAACCGAAATGGTTAATTTTTTCTCTCCATCTAATAAATTCACTCAGGCTATTATTCTGACTGTGTTTTACTCCCCTCGTACTCGACACAGAAGCCTGAAAAGAAACCTGAGGTAAGGCTCACGCAGTATGCCACACGTTTTCCCCCGAAATGTTTATAATTAGCTCGGCGGCTGACGAGCAGAAAGGCTCCGGGAGAGGAGGCGAGCATCTCGGCTACAGCTAAAGGCTCCGGCCGGCGCGCCTTTGTGTTTGTGGTGCTGCTGCTGCTGCAGCTCCTGTCTGTCAACCAAAGCCAACACTTCAGCAGCACCACACCAACGTCCTGTAACACGACAGTGCATCGTGTATGAGCTTTTTCTTCTCGCCTGCATCCGTAGACGTTAAGCAGACGTGTTAAGGCTGGAGCTTGTTAGAAATAAAACTACAGCTGCTCAGCGTGGACGTGCATTTTTTGCAGAATGAATCTTGAGCTTTGATTTCTGTGCACCGATTCACAAAGAAGACGTGCTGTGACAATAGCGTCACAAGGCAGCGTGTGAAAAAGTACAGTGGAAATGAGAATGATTCACAGAAATCAGGATTTATCACCTGTTTTGGTCATTTTTCATTAAATTACATTGCACCCACTCGAATACTGAGGTGAGAGCATCATTATCACAGTGAGTAAATGCCTCCTATCAGCTGGCATCAGGTCCGCTGTGGCCACTAAGCTGGGATTAAAGTGCTGATTACTGAAAAAATAAAAGACCAGGAGTTTATTTACCACAAACATAATATCTTAAAGATAATAATATTAATTAAGTTGTAGAAAAATGAATTATTAATTAACAATAATTTACACATTATGATACTAATGTGATTACACACACTGAGCACTTTATTAGGTACACCTATCTTGTATCTATATTTATTACCCATTTTTCAGCTCTGTTTCTCTGCATAATTTCTTATTCCACCTTTACCCTGTTCATCAATGGTCAGGACCACCAGAGAGCAGGTGTTGTTTGGTGGATCATTCCTAGCACTGCAGTGACACTGACATGTTGGTGTTGCGCTGGTACGAGTAGATCTGACACATCAGTGCTGCTGGAGTTTTAAACACTGTGTCCACTCATTGTCCACTCTATTAGACACTCCTATTGTGTTGGTCCACCTTGTAGATGTATAGTCAGAGACGGTAGCTCATCTGTTGCTGTAGTTTGTGTTAGTCATCCTCTAGTCTATCATCAGTGGTCACAAGACGCTGCCCACAGGACACTGTTGGCTGGATATTTTTGGTTGGTGGACTATTCTCGGTCCAGCAGCACTGCTGTGTCTGGTCTACTGAAACCAGCACAACACACACTAACTAACAGTGCTGAGAATGATCCACCACCCATATAATACCTCCTCTGTGGTGGTCCTGTGGGGGTCTTGATCATTGATGAACAGGGTAAAGGTGGGATAACAAATAAGGCAGAGAAACAGATGGACTACAATCTGTAATTGTAAATCTGCCAAGTGCATCTGCATGTTAAGTGGATCTGAAAAAATGGGCAGTAACTGTAGATACAAGGTAGGTGTACCTAATATAGTGATCAGTGAGAGTATGTACCATCATTAATGTTGTCATCTACTTTTATGGTTAAAGCTGTCTGCTTGTTTGTTTTTTCCTTTTCTTTTCTAAGGAACTTCTGCAATGGGATCTAAACGGAGGAGGGCCACCTCCCCGTCCAGCAGTGTAAGTGGTGGAGACTTTGAGGACAGCCAGCCAGCCTCTATGCCTTCAACCAGTCGCAAAAGAAGGAGGATCGCAAACATTCCCACAGTTGATCCTGTGAGTGGCATGAGCTGTTTTTAGATATACAGTGAGCTTCTTTACCATTCACTGGCAACTGGCAGTATATGCCAGTCTTGCCAGTGTTTATACATTTTTGCACCGACAAAGAGATTTTCATCCATAACTTTCCTGACTTATTTATTTATTAAAAATTATCCAAACCTTCAGAAGCAAAATAGGCATTTAATACTTATTAAAAAATAATTCTAAACAAAAATAAATTGTTTAAGGAAGCTATTTTAAAAGTGCCTATTTGCTTGAACCAGATGTCAGGCATCTTTTTTCCTGTGGAACCGCTGGCCCATAGATTGTTGTTGGTGGAAGGGGGTCAGAATTCACACAGTGTTGCAGTGCATGCTGGGTACTGTAGTGCATCTCAGGGTGAAATAAAAATAGAAAATTAAAATAATTTAACTGTGTCAGGCCCGTGGGCCTTGTGTTTGACACATGGAGTTTATCCCAAGCCTTCCCACAACCCAGGAAACACTTGTCAGCATAGATATGTTTAAGCTGGGAAAACACACAAAAAGTGAACGACACGGATTACTTCAGGACAAATTAATTAATTTAAAAAGCTGCTGGGTGTCTGTAACTTTACTTTGTCTGTCTTTAACGCCTCAGATTGCAGTGTGCCATGAATTGTACAACACAATCAGAGACTATAAGGATGACCAGGGCCGGATGCTGTGTGAGCTCTTCATTAGGGCACCAAAGAGAAGGTGAGATGAAACTCCCTTGCAACTATGTGTTGGAAAGTATGTTGTTCATTGTTTAGCCAGTTGTATATTCATGGGACATATTTGACATTTCAGGTTTTGTATGTTTGTCTGCACTGAAACATTACATCATTGTCACTGTCATAAAAGTCTAGAAAACTGCAAACCAAACTGAGTCAAATATATTTCTTGAAGAATTTGGAAACAGTTCATATTAACCATAGATGTGCATGCATAAGGAGTTGCTCAGTGTTCCCTTTCTTCCTTAAAGGAACCAGCCTGATTACTATGATGTGGTATCACAGCCTATTGACATGATGAAGATCCAGCAGAAGCTGAAGATGGAGGAATATGATGACGTAGAACAGCTCACAGTTGATTTCCAGCTCCTTTTCAACAATGCCAAGACCTATTACAAGGTATTCTGTCTTAATGTACAGAATCTGTTACTTAATTCAATGAATACTATAAAACATGAATACCTAAATGTTGCTGTTGCTTTAGATTTACTTCTTTCACCATTACATAGACGGTATATAAATTAGGTGTAGCGTGTTTATTAACGTTATTATTAACAAAGTTAATGTTGGGTATATTTAATTACCAGTATTTTCTATATGTCTGTTTTCAATGGTAAATACAGTGAGGGGAAACAAGTATTCAGACACTTGGTTTTTTGTTTTTTAATATAGTTCCAGTTCATATATCCACTGCAGATTTACATACACAATATCTTTTGAACTTTACATGAACAAATATAAACAAAAAAGTAAAAAAAAGATATATTTAAAAATAAAAAAAAAACAAGTTCTAGGTATTAATGCTGCACGTGGTTTCATTATAAAAGATGTTGCCATTGATTGGGAAAATTTAATGCAACAAGTAGCATCATAGTGAAGGTGAAAGAGCCTCTTAAAAATATCAGGGACAACATTAATAAACAACACTTGAAAGCACCCATATAAAAGATCTTTAAGATATCTGTCAGTGCAATTGATTCAATAATATGCAAGTGGAAAGTTTATGAAACCACAACTGAGCATCCCTGGACTGGTGCACCATGCAAGATTGCTTGAAGGCAGCAGTTGCTTGAAAAACATTTGCAGAACAACTTAAAAGCGAGAACAGTGGTTAGACTGCACTGCTATCATCTCCATTCCTACACCCCACGCAAAACTCCTCTGTTAAAAAAAAAAACACAGAGATGCATGTCCAAAATTTCTACATGAGCATTTAGACAAACATTTTGGCAGTAATTCAGATCATCATGTTTGGCGAAAGAAATTTTGCACATATGATCCCAAGAACATCATACTCTCAGTGATGTATGGAGGTGGGAGCATCATGATAGGGGGCTGTTATGTACTGAGACGTATTAGAAGAGAATTTAGTCTCATTGCCCAAGAATCTGAATGTGGGGATAAGATACTGGGTCTCATTTACCAATATCTTTGTAATATCTTTGTTTTTCTTAAATTTGTTCTTGAGAAAGGTCCTAAAAAAAAGAGAAAAAGTCCTTATCAGTTTCATGACGTGTTCTTAAACCGCAGAATTGGTCACACCTTTGTGCTCTTGAATGTGTGAAGATTCTGTTCTTACCAAACAAATCCAAATAAGAAAACATAGTGAATGTCAGAATCTTTGTAAAAACTGAGTAAGTAGACTTTAAGAAGAAATTTCTTCTTAAGAATGGTTGATAAATGAGGCCCAATGACCCCAAACATGCAGCTGAAATAATTAAAGAGAGTAAAGAAAATAAATTTGCTTGCATGGCCTAGCCAATCTTCTGACTCACATCCTATTTTAAACATATGGAGAATTTTGAAATTGTGATTCCATCAGAAGCACCCTTTGGGGAATTGAACACAGCTTGCCAAGAGAAATGGGACAGAATTGAACCACAATGATGCAAAAAGCTTATTACTTGCTGCAGTAGACATCCCAAAGCTCTTTGGGTCTATTACCTTTTTTTGAAGGTCTTTGTTTTTGTTTGTGAATGCAAACTTTTTTGCTTGTATTTATAAGTACAAAATTAAAAGACGTGTGTGTAAATTTTAAGTATATTAAATAACAAAAACAAAAGTGTCTGAATACTTGTTTTCCCTCACTATATGCTTAGGTGGTGTGGGTTACAATAAAACAACTCTACCTTTCTTGTCTAGCCTGAAACTCCAGAATACCGAGCTGCGTGTAAGTTGTGGGACCTCTACATTCGTACCAAGAATGAGTTTGTGCAGCGAGGAGACTATGAAGATGATGACGACGATGGTGACGACACACAGGAAAATGCTGGAGGTTCAATGGAGGATGAAGTGAGAATTATTCTCAAAAGCTGTCCCTTCAGACTCAGATACATTACCTTATAGATTAAGCTTTCTGAAACAAAAGTGTTGTCTCATCTGAGTGTATAGTAATCTAATATTACCGTCTATTGTATTATTCTCTTCCTCAGTCTGCATCTGTTCTTAAGGAGGTGTTGGAGCAGCTGCTGGACACAGTGTTGACCTACACTGAACACGGACGACTTGTCAGCGAACTATTCCAGAGACTTCCTTCTAAAATAGTATGAGGCAGTTATGGTACTAATTAGGGATATAAATCTCTGACCTCAAAACCATTTAATTTGATAATGATTAATTTACATTTCTTCACAATTCAGGATAATTTGTACAAATACACCGGATGTGACCTCAAAGTAACAGAATATAGACAATAAAAACAATACAACCTTTTTATATTTTTACATTTGCAAAAAACTGGATGTTATTTAGGCCAAAAAGTGCATGCATTATTTCATATTTTTGAGTTTTATTAAAACATTCCAAAAAATATGCAGTTAAATCAGATCAATGCATTTTTACACCTCTAATCCTCGTGTATGGACTGTACAGTACATCATAATATTCACATTTTCAACATTCACATTCTCTTTTCTACAGCAATACCCAGATTATTATGATATTATCAAAGAGCCGATAGACCTCAAGGCCATTGCTCAAAGGATACAGGTATCTATAATATGCATTACATGGAAAACATTAAATATTACATATTTCTTTTATTTTTATTGAGACATGGATTCTTTTCCCCCCATAGATTGGCTACTATAAAAGTGTGAATCATATGGCCAAGGACATCGACCTCTTAGTCAAAAACGCAAAAACATACAATGAGCCTGGTTCACAGGTGTTTAAGGTAATTTATAATGAAATGACCATTTTATCAGTACATAAATTCTTCTGGACAAAGTACCATAATCTGTCATGATGTACTTACAGGATGCAAACACCATCAAGAAAATCTTTTCCCAGAGAAAGATGGAGCTTGAACATACGGAGCCCATTAAATCCAGCATCCGAATCAGGTTAGTTCCCTCAGTTACAGACTCCGATCATGTGAGCTCTTGTTGTTCCAATATATGGGCCAAAAAGGGCTCTTTGGAGTGATTTTTTAGAAGAACTACTATTAGTTCCTCAAAGAACATTTTAAAGTAGTTTTTAAATGTAGAAAGATAGCAGGGACCAATACAGCAGAACTTCATATACACACATTTTCCACAGTTTTAGAAAACCTGCAAAAGTCAGTGAATTTTTAATTTTCAGGCCTGCGTATGCCATGGATTATAGTAAAATAGCTGAAAAATTATGAAAATATAAATTAACATCAAAATTCATTTAAGTTTTTGGTGTCTGCAGAGAAACTACTAATGTAGGATTGTTCCATAATATTTAGGTACAAAATTACATTTTTTAGCACATGGCATCAGTTTCTCATAATGATCCCTTTAAGCGTATTTATGTCTGTAGAAATATGCTTAACATCTTTTTGCTAAATTGATCATTTAAGCAAACTGTTACAATTGTTCTGCTGTTTCCAGTCGCCATGATCTGCCAAATTGTTAGCAATTCAACTTAAACGCAGTGTAGTACAAACATAAATCTTTTGTACTAATCAAAAGATTGATAAATGGTACCATACTTCAGGGAAATGTTCAACTCATGAAAAATAAAAGAGTTTATGAGAAGTTCTGGAAAAGTTTTGGAATGTTGGAAACAGTATGGGAGCCTGTGTATAGAGTGCATGAAACTAAAAGGAGACCAAATAACACAGCATGAAAAGGGAATGTGGACTAAATTACACAGACAATGCAGCTTTGTATAAATATCATAGTGCATTGCGTTTGTTTCTGTGTGTGTGACTAGAAACAGAAGGTCAGTTCATGGAGACAGACTATCCTCCATCACCATGGCTTTACAGTACGGTTCAGAGAGCGATGAAGACGGCATCCTCACAGGTCATCTTCTATTTATTTATGTATTTTATCATATCTACATAGTGCCATTAGGTCTAAGTAAGTCTGTTACTGTTGTATGATTGTGTCGTTTGACTTTTTCTCAAATAATATGTAGCATATCGATTTTTTTAAAAATATTTGGACAGTGTTGAAGTCTGCTAACCTGCATTTGTTCTGAAATCAGTGTATTTTTGTGTGCTTTCTGCAAACAAGGATAATATCCATCAAGTATAAATACCCCTTGAAAACTGATGTGGTACTATTTGGTTTTGACACAAGATTAACCAATCAAATCTTGTGTCACAAGTTGTGGATCATTAGGTGCACTGAGAACAATTGACAGTTGTATTTTGTTCACTTTTGTTCTTGCCACATGCCTTTTTGGTTTTGAATTGGAATTGGGCTAATGCATAAAAACGTGAAAATGAGCCAACGTGTAGCTAGAGGTGGGCAAGTGGCACAGAAGTGCAAAATTGCAAAACATGAAGAAACTTTCACCATATACAAACCTAAATTTCAGAAAAGTTGGGATAGTGTGCGAAATGCTAAGAAAAACAGAAAGCAGTGGTTAGTAAATTCTGTTTGACCTTTATTAAATTGAAACAGGGCCAGATTGTTACCAGCATGAAAGTTTAAAAGCCAGGGTCTGTCGTGGTCTGGGGCGTGTTAGTGCCCATGGCATGGGTAACCTGCCCATCTGTGAAGGGACCATCTATGCGTCAAGATATATAAGCATTTTTGAGCAACATATGCTGCCTTCTAGATAATGTCTTTTTCAGGGACATCCATGCTTATTTCAACATGACAACACCGTACCGCTTTCTGCATGTTTTACAACACATGCGTTTTGTGCCATGATCATATCTGGATAAGCTTTGGCCAGATTCACTTTACAGTTTTCACTGAAACGCGTATCCAGTGTAACCAGACATAATCCGATTGTACCTTTCCTGCCTGAAAAACACATCAACACACATATATTATCTATGATCACCTCCAAGTGTGGTTTGAGTGATGTGATCTTAATGCATCCTGGGGATGTTTACACCTGACTTTTCATGTGGTCAAGTGAAATTTAAGCATGATCTGAAATCTCAAAATTGTATATTAATGCAAGATGTAAACATGCCCATAGAGTGTGGGTGCTAGACTAGCCTGCCAGCAGTCCAAACCTGTCTTCCATTGAAACTGTGAGACACATTATGAAGGGCAAAATATGTCAACAAAGGCTCCATACAGTTTTGCAGCTGATGACTTGCATAACAGAAGAATGGCACAGAATTCTGCTTTCGAAACTGGATTGATTGGTGTCTTCAGTCCACAAATGATTAAGGTGATGTAGCACAATGGTAAACATGGTCCTGTCCCAACTTTTTTGGAACATGTTGCAGGAATCAAATTTCGGAAGAATGTATATTTACACCAAAAATAATATATCATGTTGTAACATACCGTATTGCCCTGCCCTTGTCTTTCTCTTTTCTGTCTGTGACTGTCCTTGTTTACTTTCCATCATTTGTCTTGCCATGTACTTTTGTTGTTCTTTTGGTGTCTGTATCCTTCCCTGTCTTGCCTCTTTTTCATCAGTCTCACCTGTGTATACTCTGTAGTCCCACCCTCTCATTTGCCCCAGGTGTTTTTGGTATTTTCACTTGTATTATTACCTCTGGTTGTTTGTCTTGGCTTCGCTTGGTGTTTTGGTTTGTCAGGCCCTGTCTTGTTTTCTACCTCCTGTTTGTTTTCTAGTTTATTTAAATTACGCTTTATGTCTAAGTATTTTTGTCAGTAGTGTTCTGTCTTGGTCTAGTTGCTTTTGTGGTTTTGTTTTCCTTGTAATGGATTTCAGTAAAACAAAAAAAAAATGCACTTGCATCCCGCCTCGTCGTCTCCCTCTCTGTTACATGTTTCGTACTGTTTTCAGTTCTATTTAATACAGGCCAAACTAAATGTATATTTTCTCATTTGAGAAAATTTCTTATTTGAAATTGGGTTGGTACAATGCTTTGCCAACAAGTTGTTACTATGCAGTTTTAAATTGATACTTTGACACCACTGGTTGTTGTTACAGACTGTCTACAATTGGTCTAAATCTCAGTTTTTTTTATTTAGCATGTAGTTGGCAAGTGTTCTAGGAATATTCCATGCACACTTGCTCAGTAAAGCCCATTGTGGTGTAATTTTTTTGATCAATAACATGTTGTCATATTGCCTACCCCTATATCTAAGCAACCAGCCATTGCACTGTAGAACAGCTACATTTGTTATTAGCATATTCACAGTCCCTCTTTTCTTGTCCCAGGCTCAGTGCATTATGACGAAGGTGAATCAGAGGCTGAGAGCATCCACTCCAATATGGACATGTCCAACCCCATCTTCCAGATGTACGAGGCTGTACGAGGGGGCAGGAACAGCCAAGGCCAGCTCATAGCCGAGCCCTTCTTTCAGCTGCCCTCTAGGAAGGACTACCCTGACTACTACCAGCAGATCAATCAACCCATCTCTCTACAGCAGATTCGGTACAGCCAGGTTACATCCACAGCATGCTTGCCTTGATGCTCCATAGACAGATAATAAAAAGGATTCTTAGGCATTATGTTGTTTAAGAGCAAACTGGACAATTATGGTACACCACTTATATTCAATAAAGTATCTGAGACAAACATTGGGCCTCATTCACTAATGCCTTCCTCAGTTTTTTCTCACGTTTGTTCTTGAGAAAGGACTGCATCAGGGTCATGACATCTTTTTAAACTGCAGAATTGTTCACACCTTTGTGCCCTTGACTGTGTGTAGATTCTGTTCTCACCTAAGAACAAATCCCAAATAAGAAAACATTGGCGAATGTCAGAATCTTCTTAAAAACTGCATAAGTGGGTTTTAAGACGAAATTGCTTCTTAGAAATGATTGGTGAACGAGGCCCATTGCTATTTAGGGAGAATAAAAATAGGATTCTTGGAATGTCTTTTCATGTCTCTAATAACAAATAGGATAAATGTGTAAAACATGACACTTCAAAGTACAATCTTCAGTATTTGGCCATCATTTCAGTTGATTTTTCATATAACCTTGCTGTATTCCTGTCTCCAGAGATAAAATGAAGAATAATGAATATGAGAGTGTGGAGCAGATGGACTCTGATCTGAACCTGATGTTTGAGAATGCAAAGCGCTACAACGTCCCCAACTCCCACATCTACAAACGGGCTCTCAAATTGCAGCACATTCTCCAGGTAAACTCCCTGGATTTTGAGTCTGTTTCACATTATTTTATCCTTTTAAGCCTTTTCAGTTTGAAAAAAATTCAATCAATTAAATTCAAATTTTGGCATACTTTATTATCACATTGAATTTTGGTTGTGTGCATGTGTCCAGCTGAAGAGGAAGGAGTTGTTGAGGAGAGAAGAAGAGGACGGAGACAGTATGCTGTCCTCTACTCTGTCGGACAGTGGCAGCATCAAACGCAAGAGGTAGAATCTTTCAGTCTAACTGAAGGGGAAATTCCTCAGTTTTTTCCAAATTTATCCAGAATTAAATTAGATGTGAACAAAGTCATTCAGAGTGGTTTGATGTGAAATTCTTGAAGTTTACACAGTCAGAATCATTCACAGTGTTGGTGATGGAAACCAGATGTCTGAAGCATTTAATGTCTCTAAAAATGGCATCATGGAAAGTAATTATTATTATAGTTTTTAATCGTTCAATATGTTTCTCTACAATAGACAATTTCATTCTAAACCTCTCTGAATGACTTTTTTATACATTTCCTTTGAAAAATCTGTAGAACTATGTGGTATGTAAAGTCATTATTAGAAGTACCACCCTTACTTCTTGGTTGACCACATTAAAAAACAACATCTTTAATCTTACGATTAGGGCCCAACAGATTAAAAAAATTATGGCTGATACCAATTTAGGAGGCTAAAAATCCAGGTAAGTGATAATATCAGCTGCTTTCAGTGTTTTAGTTATACAGTGCTTTACTGACTGACATAACGTTAAGTTTTCAGTTTTCACACTTCTTAAAACTCAAACAAATAGCAAACTCACAATGTTAAATAATATTAATATTGTAACACAGGGGGTGCAGCTACGTTTTTGTGTGTCATAACATGCTATTCTTATGCTAAGGGGTGGGGTTTGAGTACATTTTACATCATGTAACCATTTGTTCTTTATTACTCTGATATAGATAAAACAAGGAGTGCCTCATATTGGGTTTCCCAGTGGCACAACTGTCTAAAGTTTTGCCCCATCATTGATCGAGAGTTAGTCTCACTGGGCCAGGCATGATCTTGTAATGAGACTTTATGGGCTAAATGACTAAGTATGAACTTTCTAAATCAATCCAACTCCTTGTGAAGGCGGTGCTTAAACTAGAGGAGGATGGTGTGCTCACTAACATTGTCCCATGGAAAACAAGCCTGTCATTTGCCCACAGATGTAAGTTAGAATGACTGAAAAGTCCCCCAAACAAAACTACAAATTACGCATAAATGTCATGTTTCCTCTTGCCAAGGAAAAACAGTACAGTTAGCTAAAAGCACCTACTAGAGGGACAGGATTTAGAGATGGCGTCAGATTTCGCTGCAATCCAGCACCAAAAGTTGAAGTTTGAAAGTTTAAGTTGTCTTGAGACATGTATTCTCGGTCCGTTCATGTAACCAAAAAAAGTAGCCAATTATCAGCATGTTTTCAGTGATATATTTGCGGAAATGAAAGAAATGTGGGTCGTCAATATCAATGATTATTATCAGCCAACTGATATTTCAGTCTGATCCTACATACAATACAATTCTATAGTTCATTTCAGACTTTCACTGTAAAGGTTTGCAGTTTTATTACTAAGTTGTGTCCATACACTGCTGGCCAAACATTTAAAAGCAACACTAACTTTGTGAAAGTAAAGAAATATATATAAAAATATAAGTAATAAAATGAACAGAAATATGTTAATTAGTATATTAGTACAACTGTTTTGCTTCGTGTGATTCTCCTGCAGAGTTTTATTGCACCTGTAATCAAATCCACCTGATTCCCACATTCAGATGTTTTGAATTAGGATGTTTTGTTAATGTAAGGGACTTTTCCCATGTTGTTAGAGTATCACTGCTTTCCATACTTTTGACCTGTAGTATATGTGGCTACACAATGAATCTTTATTAGAATATTTGTTTATTAGAACTTTGTTTCCAATTAAATGGCCAACAGTCATAAAAAGAATACCAAGAAGAATCGTATGAAGGCTCTGTACCTGGCTGTGACTGAGGCTCGAGAACTAGGCAGTGGACGGAGACTATGTGACTTATTCATGGTTAAACCATCTAAGAAAGACTATCCAGACTACTATAAGATCATACTGGAGCCTATGGACCTGCGCACCATAGACCACAATGTCCGTGCAGACAGATACCACAACGAAGACGCCATGTTGGAGGACATGAAGCTGATGTTCCGAAATGCAAGACACTACAATGAAGAAGGCTCACAGGTGGGTTAGTAATGACAGTGACCAGGCAGTGGTGGCTAAATGAAATGAAATTGACTAGTGTCCACTCTTTGTGACTTTACCGAGAAGGGTAGTTTAGTTGATGGATAGAGTAGTAGTACTTGTGACTGGCACACTGTCCAGCCAGTGAGTAGAAATCACTTCAGACACATCAGATTATCCAGTGATGTACATGTATGAACTGTTACTGCCATGTACAGTACTGTGCTAAAGTCAGTACCTTTTGTTTGCGTAAGTTCCAGTCAAAACAGCAGAGTACAATTTATTTATTTTTCAGCTTCAGGAAAAATCCAGAAACATATATTTAACAGAAAATTACACAGAAGCCTCAACAACTAAATATAATGTGAAATTATCCCCCATTTGCCCTTATTACAGCGTTTTGCAGGAGACTTGCTTTCCGTTTTTCAAAGAAATCTGAAGGGATATTTTTCCACATCTCCATAGTTCAGTCTTAGAAGTTGGTTGCATTTTCTGCTTCTCATGAACAAAGTAATCCGAATTACAAATATGGACCCATCAGTCGATGAGACCTTACTCCACATCTCAGAAGTCCATTTTTTTCTTACCGACACTTTCTTCTTTAGTTGTCTGTTTCCTTTTGTCAGTAACGGCTTCTTGACAGCTGCACATCCTTTCAGACCCATAGTGTTGTGTTGTCTTCTCACAGTGGAAGGATGGACAAACATCTGTGGATTTTTCAGATCTAAAGCAAGAGTGGAGCTTGATTTTCTCCTCTCTCTCAAAGCTTTAAATACTGTTTTTGGTGCTCTACCAGATCTACCACAGCAGCTAGGAGCCCCATTTTCTCTACATCTTTCAATAATTTTTGATCTCCATTTTTTTTTCACTTATTTTTCTTTGACTCCTTTATGAAAGTAGATTATCTAAGTCTCTCAGAAATATCTCCTGAAAATGAATAACTTGTACTTATTAGCTATTTTGCCTGGAAATTAAAGAAATAAAAGTGATCTCTGACTTTTGCACAGTATAGTATGATACTTTTTGTGAACTGTAAGACATCAAGATCACATGATGGTTTGACTGCAGGTGTATAATGATGCTAACACTCTGGAGAAGATTATGAGGGACAAAAAGAGAGAACTTGGGCCTACACCAGACGATGATGACATTGTCTCACCAAAACTCAAAATAAGTATGTTGTTTCACAAGCATACTGGAAAAATAGACTATGTACCCCCTTCCTTCCAGATATACTGTAGAACATTCTTAGCCATCTACACAGCACCACAAATCAACAGATACAAGCAACCGTTTGCTGTTCAGGTTTCTTGTGGAGCTGTTAAGTAATCTTAAATAGATGTTCTTATGTGATCATTGGCACTGAATGACTTACCGTTATCTGTATAAAATAGTATGAAATTAAACAGTATGAAACTTCAGGCTTCAAGTAGCAATATACTACTGTTCATTTATTCAGTGCCATGAAAAAGTATTTGCCCCCTCCTGAGGTCTATTTTTGCCACACTAAATGGTTTCAGATCCTTTTACAAAATAGAATGTAAGACAAGCAGAGCATGAGGAAATGTGTGTTCAGGATCCTTAGTTTTGTTTCTTTTGAGTCATTTAGAAGTGGACTTGCTCTTGTGCCTCTGATCATTTTCTTGTTGGATAATCCAGTTATGCTTAAGCTTCAGTTCACAGACTGTCGACTAGATATTCTGCAGGATTTTCTGGTAGAGAGTAGAATTTATGGTTCCACCAATTAAAGCAAGGCACCCAAGCCCTGAAGCAGTGAAGCATCTCCACACCATCACACTACCACCACCATGTTTGACTAGTGGTATCACGTTCTTATTGTTGAATGCTGTGTCAGCTTTATGCCAGATGTAACGGGACTTGTGTCTTCTAAAAAGTTCCTCTTTTGACTCATCAGTCTACAGAACATTATTGCATAAGACTTGGGGGTTATCAAGGTCTTTTTGGATAGAGACCATTTGTGCGCAGTCTCATTCTAGAGGTGGAATAATGAACGCTGACCTTATCTGAGGTGAATGAAGCCTGCAGTCGCTTAGATACTCATCTAGGTTCTGTTGTGATTTGGTAAATGATTCATCACTGTGCTCTGGGAGGGATTTCGGTAGGTTGACCACTTCTGGGATAAACCTCTGTTCCAGGGCGGCTCCTTTTAGAGAGAATGGCTCTCACTGTGGTTCGCTGGAGTCTCAGAGCTTTAGAAATATCGTTGTAACCCTTTGCAGACTCAAATATTTCAGTAAATTTTTCTCATAGAATAGGCATAGACATAGTCTGCTGTTTGTTGAGAACTTCACATTGCTGGAAAGGTTCTATTTAAGTGATTTTAAGATTCGAGAGGACTGACAGTAATCAAATGTGGGTGTGTCTAGTTTAACTGATCCAAATTATCAACTGAAAATGGTTCATTGGTTGATTGAGTAACTAAGGCCAGTTGGTGTTGGAAAATGTTTTTCCGTCAGTAAAAGTAATGAACATTTTTAAACCTGTATTTTGTGTTTACTTTGATTGTCATTTTGTTTGAAGATCTGAAACAATGAAGTGTGACAAATGTGCAAAAATAGGGTTAGGTATGCAGGTATGCAGTTTGAACGTTGCTTATTGTGGGGTTTAAGCTCTTATTGCTTGCTAGCTACATTAGCCTCATAGTTCCAGTGCAAAAGTAAAGAGGCAAATTTCAGACACCAAGCTACATTAGGGATAAGGAAAAATTGAGTACATTGTAAAACTTTCTTCCTCTATAATGACAGGAAAGAGTGGCATCTCCCCTAAGAAGTCCAAATACCTGACACCACTGCAGCAGAAGCTGAACCAGCTCTATGAGGCAGTGAAGAACTACACGGACAAGCGTGGCCGACGCCTCAGCACCATCTTCCTCCGCCTCCCGTCCCGAGCCGAACTCCCCGACTACTATGTGGCCATCAAGAGGCCCATAGACATGGAACGGATCAAAAGCCACATGCTGGCCAACAAGTACCAGGACGTTGACGCCCTGGTGGAAGACCTGGTGATGATGTTTAACAATGCTTGCACCTACAACGAGCCTGAGTCGCTCATCTACAAAGACGCGCTGGTGCTCCACAAGGTCCTTCTGGAGACTAGGAGGGACTTGGAAGGGGGTGACGACGCCCATGTGCCGGATGTCCCTCGTCTCATCCAGGACCTGATTCGCAGTCTCTTTGTGTCTGTGTTGGGTCACCAAGATGATGAGGGCCGTTGCTATAGTGACTCATTGGCAGAGATTTCAGCAGAGGACCCCGCTCATCCAGACAGACCTCCGCTCAACTTTGAGATCATACGGGCCAACGTGGATAAAGGGCGCTACAAACGCCTGGACGTCTTCCAGGACCATATGTTTGAAGTGCTGGAGAAAGCAAGGCGAATGCATAGGTAACACCTCACCAGAACCCACATTGATTCATTTAAGGGTGCTGGGAACTGGAAGAGTTCTGGAGTAGGACTGTTCAAAGACGGGTGGGGAGCCATTCAAATAGACAATGTACCATTTTGGAATCAGTTAGAAGTTTGGAATCAATGTTTTCAATAATACAAAACCAGTTTGGTTACAGATAAATGTATGAAAATCTTGTAATATGTTAGTCCTGTGCAACTTGACAGATTTCAAATAAGCAGGAAGCCAGGAAGCTGTACATAATTTAAAAAAAGAAAGCAAAATGATAAACAGAGCTATAGATAATCTAAAATTACTGAGAAAGCTTTATAGCAACAAAATTGTTTTAATAAAATTAATATCTAGAATTTATAATAGTTACAGGGCAGAGATATTAGAAAACTGAATTTCCCCCCACTTTTTTGAAATAGAGAAGTTTTATGTAATATGTAAACATTGTTGAAGTTTTAAAAACTTACCATTCTCTGCTTATATGTGAAAACTCTGCTGAAAAAACTGCCCGTTTTGAATTCATTGTTTTTGCGATTGTTACAAGAGAGAACTCATTAACTTATTACCACTTACTCAGCCTACATCAGTTCAGTCCCACCCATTAATGCTGAAGTTCTAACCAGTATTTCAGCTCTGAGTGCTTTTGGAATGAGGCACAGTGCAGGGTAGCCAATCAGAACAGAGCTCATTTACATAAATCTGTCTGGAACAAAAGCAGCCTGCTTATTTGTAATGGATAAAGAGAGGTAGGATACAGGCCATGAACATTTTTTGGAACATAAAATCACACAAATGTTATAAGTGGAATAAAAATGCAAGAAAAAAGGAGGATATGGGCCATTTAAATCTACACAGTATAAATTAATAGTGTACATAAAATAACAAACATGATTAATATGATAAGGAATACCAAATATTTGAATGGTAATGTACATGAGCGTTCTTTGTACGTAATTAATTTTTCCTGTTGAACTTTGTCTTTGGTTAACAGATGACAAGTCAGACAATATTTGCTCTTTTATTCATTTCAAGGACTAAGTTTCACTTTTTCGCTGCAAACAGTGCAACAGTTTCGCTGTTTCTCTTTGTGGTTTCTGCGGCAGGACGGACTCAGAGATCTTTGAGGATGCAGTGGAGCTACAGCAGTTCTTCATTCGGATCAGAGACGAGCTGTGTAAGAACGGCGAAATCCTGCTCACCCCGGCCCTCAGCTACACCTCCAAACACCTGCACAGTGATGTGGAGAAGGAGAAGAAAGAGAAGTTGCCCAAAGAGTTTGAGGAGGACAAGCTCAAGAGGGAGGAAGAGAAAAAAGGTATGTTGCTGACCATCTGCTTTTGTTTTTGCTGATAGATAGACAAAACTCAAAGCACTTAAATTATAAGCTGTGTAATTACACTGTTTGTTGTTGTTAACTACACTAATGTTATCTGTTGATGTTTTAACTTTAAAATTGACGTTAAATTTAAAATTGGGCTAATTTAACATCTTATAGAAAGTTAACAGAATCCTGATAATTAACATTTTAAATTAGTTACTTTTTAAGCGTCTTTTTTATGATGAATAAACATATATGAAACTTAACAAATGTTAGTTTCATTGTAGTTTGTGAGCAATTTATAGTAGTTACTGATAATAAGACTAGAGATTAAGGTGTTAAGGAGACCTATTATGCATTCCCTTTATTTCAATAAAATTCCACTCATATACAAATAAAACCCAAGTCCATGAGTGATTTCTCCCTTATTATCTTTTCAAACCTGCTGACAAATTTCCTGACTGCAGAAGCAGAGAAGAGTGAGGAATCTTCTGGGGGTTCCTGGCAGGGGGGCCTTCAGCGTACGTACAGTCAGGACTGCAGTTTCCAAGACAGAATGTACCATGTAGGAGACTATGTCTACGTAGAGCCCGCTGAGCCAAACCTACAGCCCCACATTGTCTGCATAGAGCGCCTTTGGCAGGATGACACAGGTATTACAATGATAGCAGGTGTTTTTCTCCATCCCAGCCCTGCATACCCACTGAATTCACAGCAAACCCATCCACAATGAACTCAAAAATGATGCTTATGTAGAGAGTGGAACATGTGTACAGCTGGTTTTGAAGAACCAATTTCAACAACCCAATTTCAACAATGTATTGACATGCCTTCACTCACTGTCAGGTTTCTGAGCTAAACACCTGTAAGATTAGCTAGACTAGCACTAATGTTGGCTACATTTCCAATAGCATGGTAGATATCAGTCATCATAAATAAAACCAGAACCTAACCAGCATTAGCAAGATAGCTAAATTTACTTAAAGAAAATATGGTTTTACAGGCATTCTTGTAGGCATTGACACATTCATTATTCAATTTCGATTTTGAAGTTAAAATAAGGAGTGCCTTAGAATGCTTACATTAGCTTACATTAAAGCTACCCTATGTAAGATTTGGGGATTTGGAAGGGTACCTGCATGCAATGTGCAAAAAACATTTTACAATGTCAGTTGTGCTCCGGACTCATTTCGCCGAGTGGATGAATCTGATCATTGCGACCATGTTAAAAATGTATTCAGAGAGAACTCAGTCAAAACTTGTTGAATGATATCTTTAGAGGATGCAAGTGAATTATCTACTATTGTCATCATATCTTCAGTAGTATAATATTAATTTTGCATTTGAGACCTAAACATCGACCCAGATCATGTCTATTTTCATTTTATTAGAGCATTGAATATTATAAAAGTACCATATATTCAAAAATTCTAAGTTGCTTTGTTGCATCCCCACACATCAGTCTGACTGTGACCCTCGTTGTGCTGATGACCCTCATTTGTGCTGATGTTATGGTATGTGACTTTAATCTAGTGCCACTCTAAATCTGTTTCAGATATAAACTGGTAAAAGGAAGCACATAAAGTACCAGATATTTCTTTTCTATTTCTTTTTCTTTTTTGTTCTGTAATTTGATTGGTGTTGCTTTTTGGGATCCAGAATTAAAAAGTATTTTTCTATATAGGTATATCTTTGTCTTTGTTTCTTTTGCAGGGGAGAAATGGCTTTATGGCTGCTGGTTCTACAGACCGAATGAAACCTTCCATCTTGCCACACGCAAATTCTTGGAGAAAGAAGTCTTCAAAAGCGACTACTACAACAAAGTCCCTGTCAGCAAAATTCTGGGCAAATGCGTCGTCATGTTTGTTAAGGTAAAGTTGTTCTGTACAAGTGTATAAGTATTTGCTCTGCTTTGATTGGACTGGACCTGGAAAGCACTGTAGAACAGTTCACCATGATATGGTAGAGAAAGTGTCACTCTGGACATTTTCCCTACTTCGCACCAATGATCAGTTTCCAAACCTTTTGGGAAACCAAGCTCTGACTGTTTTGTCTGGTTTGCTGTTTGTTGTTTCAGGAGTATTTCAAGCTCAGCCCTGAGGGCTTTAGACCTGAAGATGTTTTTGTCTGTGAGTCGCGTTACTCTGCTAAGACCAAGTCTTTCAAGAAGATCAAGATGTGGACTATGCCTCTGAGTTCGGTGAAGTTTGTGCCTCGCGATGTTCCGTTGCCTGTGGTCCGGGTGGCCTCTATGTTTGCACCTAAGCCAGAGGCTGAGAAGCCTACCGAGCCAACAGAGGACAACAAAACTGTAGCCTCCGTTATTGATAAGGTAATGGTCAGAGACTGAGGCAACGGATTGATCAGTCAGTGACCACCCTTCATTTGTTTCATATCCAGTCAAATGGCCGTTAAGTACAAGTTACTCATTTTTCAGGAGATGTTTCTGAGGAGATTAGATATAATACATCCCAGCTGCAAAAGGAAGGGGAACCTTGCACAGTACAAAAAATGGGACTCCTGTTAACAATGCAAGAAAAAAGCTGTCCTCATCAGATAAACAGTCATTAAAGCTTTATTAATCTTTTAATCTTTGAAAGAGAGGAGAAATCCAAGCTCCACTCTTGTTTCAGATCTGAAAAAATCAACAGGTGTTTCTGTCCATCCTTCCACTGAGAAGATAATGCTATGGGTCTAAAATGATGTGTAGCTGTTAAGAAAAGGAGAAAAATTGCAAAGAAGCTGTCTGTGTTCCCGGAACAATGGACTGACCACACCAGATTCTAGACCTGAACATAGAAAGTGTTGGGGATTATTTGGATTGTGAGACGCAGAAAAAGAGACCAACGTCTAAGACTGAACTCTGGAGGTGTGGAAAAATATCCCTGCAGATTTCTTTGAAAAACTGTTTTCTTCTTGTTTTACTCACGATTAAATATTAAAAACTTTTACTTAATGGCCATTTTGACTTAAGCAAATGGATAGTCTCTGACTTTTGAACAGTACTGTATGTGTTGTGCAAGGTTTGTTTCTTTAGTTTTGCTGTGGAGCTACCAAGCTAATGTAGCTAACTAGTAACAGAAACTTAGAGCCATTGTGCAAACGGTAGGCCAAAATGATCACAGACTTGCTTAAAAATGGACAAAGTTTTGTTGAATAGCTATAAAAGGATAGCTGCAACCATCTTAAATTTAGATTTTGTCCATACTTTAGTTAATTTTTATAGATAACAGCATGTCATACAGTGTACAAGCAAATTTCAGACACCAAACGTGTCTTGACTGATCATCAGTTTTCACTGAACTGTTCTTTTCACAGCTAATTTACATTGTACTAGTTATGTTGTTTCCTCATAGAAACATCAGACTGCACAAATGAATTGCCCTTTTATGAAAAATAAATCAGCAGGAAGCAAATGTGGGTCTCATTTTGTGCTGTGGAATGTAATGACCTCATATCTGCAGGAGAAGGAGGACGTTCCTGTAGAGGTCAGCAACGGCGAGCCAGGCTGCCAGTATTACGAGCAGTTCTGCTACAATGACATGTGGCTGAAAGTGGGTGACTGCGTCTATATCCGCTCTCACGGCCTTGTGCGCCACCGAGTGGGCAGGTACAACAATGACATTCTTAATTTAATTTTTAATTCTGCTTAATTCAATTGTTAAGATGTAAAAATAGTCATTCAGAGTGGTTTGATGTGAAATGTGAGTCTGTAAATTTCTCCACCATTTCACATCAAACCACTTTGAATGACTTGTATACATTTTTAAAAGTTGGTTAAATTCCTCTTTAAGAAGTCATGGATTGTTTTTATGTTTATCTTTCTGTTCATCTGCCTTGGCTCATTATTCAGCTTACATTCTGGACAATATCTCTCCTCCTATGACCTTTCATTTGAGAAGAGCATGGTCCTTAGAAGACTTAATGGTCCTTAGGTTTGAATGTTATGTAATGATGCTATTGTGACACAGCGCTATAAGCCGATCCCCTTGTGGGTCTGTGATGTAACAGGATAGAGAAAATGTGGGTGCGAGATGGGGCTGCCTACTTTTTCGGGCCAATCTTCATCTACCCTGAAGAGACTGAACATGAACCTACCAAGATGTTCTACAAAAAGGAAGTGTTCCTCAGTAACCTGGAGGAGTCCTGCCCGATGACCTGCATTACAGGTATCCTTCACTGCTCCATCTGTGACTTATGAAAGTTAAACTTTAGATTATTTCCCTGACAGTTTTAAGTTTAACAGTGTTAAAGCATCCCAGATGCCAGTCCTGAGGGACCACATCAATGTTCAGCATTTACTTTTCTTAAACTACTTGATGTGCTGTCATGGAGTTAGCGGCCCTTCAGGTCCAGAGATTTTGAAGAGGAATTCCTCTGATTTTTTAAATTTTCTGCATAGATAAATCATTAAGATGCAGCGTTTAGAGTGGCTTGATGTGAAATGTTCCATTCTAGAAAATTTACCAAGTCAGAATTGTTCACAGTGGTGGTGATAGGAACTAGATGTCTAAAGAGCTCCCTTACAGAGTGGTATTACATATGCTGCCTGATGTTTGAGACCTTTGAGATAATAGTTTAATATGAAGTTTTGGCTTAAAATGTACTTTTCGAAAGTTATTAATAGTGCAAAGGTACATCCAAGGCTTTGTGAGGCAAAATACAATACAATTCCTCAAAATACAGCTTTTTTTTTTGGATTGCCACTATTTTTCCATCATCAGCATTAAATATAAAAACTCAAAAGACACGTGTAGGTTCACTAGATTGTAAAATTAATAGCAGCTTTGGACTGATGTCATTGAAGACATCATGACTACTGGTTCCTATCAACATCACTGTAATGAAAATCTGAATCAGTAAGTTTCTCTACCATTAACCATTTCACATCAAACCACTCTGGATGACTTTGTTTACATCTCAGCAATTGAATTATGCAGAAAACTTGAAAAATCTGTAGAATTCTTCTCACTTTGATCTTTAGTGGTCATGGAAATATTAGTTGAAAGTCAGATTTAGAGTCTGAGTACTGCTTTTCAACACAAAACTCTGTAGATAATAGCATCTTAATTGAAAAAGACAGTAGAAGCGAGTGGTCACTGTCTTTGATCACAGTTTTTTTCTCTGACCATTAATTCTAGTACCCTCTCCCACCCTTGTCTGTTCCTTAGGGAAGTGTGCAGTGTCCTCGTTTAAAGACTACCTGTCGTGCCGTCCAACCGAAGTGCCAGAAGAAGACGTGTTGCTTTGTGAGAGTCGCTACATCGAAAGCGAGAAACAGATGAAGAAGTTCAAAGGCCTGAAACGCTTTTCTTTATCTGCCAAAGTAGTGGAGGATGAAATCTATTATTTTAGGCAAGTTTTTTTGAAAGAATTACTAATGTTATTTGAAAGAATTACTAATGATTAAGAAATAAACAGTAAAAGTCTTGCTCCTGTATTATAAGTATTGAACATTGAAGTTTAAAACATGTAAGTATAGAACATGTAAGGTCACTATGAGGTCAGAACAACAAGATTATTTGCTGTATCTTTTTGAACACATTGTCTTTGTCAGAAACAAGGGCGCTTTTGCTATATAGTGCACTATTTTGGGGGCTCTGTCATTTGTAGTGGACCTTACAAACATGAAGAATATCCTGTACACTTTTACAAAACCCTCCATGCACTGTTATATCTGCTATAGAGCAGAACATTATGGGTATTCCTTAGGGTACATCATTATACTCTTTAGGGCTATAGCCCTGTAGGGTATAACAGACATGGAATACCCATATTTCAAGCCATTTACTTGAATTCACAAATTCAGTTCTTTATAATACTGTTCTATATAGTACTCCTGAATTCCAATGAAGACATTAGGGGGGACATTTCTTACACAGCATTTGTCTGATAGTTAGGATAATCTTAATGCTATTATGCTAATGGAAGACTCTTCATAGTCCAGTAGTTAGATCTGTCACTCACACATTCCTGTTTCTGTGCCAGAAAGCTGATAGTGCCTCAGAAGGAGCCGTCCCCCCTGCTGGACAAGAAGATTGAAGAGCTGGAGGCCAAGTTTGCAGATATGACGGATGAAGAGCTGGAGGATCTGGGTGATGATGATGGTGAAGGCTCAGATGCCCAAGGCATACCTCAGCTGCAGACACCACTAGCCAGTGACATAGACATGATGCAGTATCCACAAACACAGGTGAATGAAGTCTTAGCCAGAGTCAAGAAATCTGCCATCATCATTACATAGAATGTGAATAGATGAATGAACAGATGCAGTGTGAGTGGAGAAGAGTACTTGCAGAAGCTTTTAAGTGTCTGTAAATTGCCCATTAAAGGCTATGGGACTTTTCATGCCTGTGTGGTAGCCCAGTCCAGAGACCAGGGTTCTGCCATGTTGTTAAAGGCTGAACGAAAGCTTGCCCTCACCGCATCTTTCACTTTGTCTTTGACAGTCCACACCCAAGTCCATTAAGGGCCTGTCGAAGAAGGAGGGAGCAAAGAGGAAGATCAATATGAGTGGCTACATCCTGTTCAGCAGTGAGATGCGGGCTGTGATCAAGGCCCAGCACCCAGATTTCTCCTTCGGGGAGCTCAGCCGCCTTGTAGGCACAGAGTGGAGAAACCTGGAGTCCGCCAAGAAAGCTGAGTATGAAGGTCAGGCAGTTCAGAATGCTTTTTCTTTAAAGTCAACATAAATTGGTACCATGATGTATTTCTGAATGAAACATGGGTCTCTGAGCCAGATGAGTGTTTTTGCTTGATGATAGGTGGGGCTGGTTGGAGGGGAAGGTGAAACATGATATTAATGGTTAATGTTATGTTTACCTGCCTACCAGTGCACACTGGCGTAATCAAAAATCAGAAAATATTTTAAAGGCAGTCTTGATTGATTGATCAATTGGTTGATAATTTCAGGTTTTTCAGCTAATCCCACCTTGTCAGCATTCCAATGGTCACTCAGTGTCAGTGTTGTATGTACCTGTCTGTTCCAGAGCGGGCAGCTAAAGTAGCCGAGCAGCAGGAACGCGAGAGGGCGGCTCAGCAGCAGAACTCCCCGAGAGCAGGTACCCCAGTAGGGGCGCTCATGGGGGTGGTGCCCCCTCCGACCCCTATGGGGATGCTTAACCACAGCATGACACCTATGGCAGGTAACCCCTCTCAGATGCAGTGGATGCACCTCACCGGTGCCACATAGAGCTGCAATAAGAAGCCTAACTGCTAATATGCTTTATTTTTTCCAGCCATTCTTCATTCTTCCTAATTCATCCTTAATACAAAAAGTTTACACCCTGAGAATATAGGATGAATTTGAATGCATCATAGTTTTATCATCATGATATTAAAATCTTTCACTTTAAAGGAATAATCAGGTACTTTTCAACATAATCTCTTTATTTATCTACAGCTATACCATACAGACTGTTACCACAGACAATTTTTACAACAGACAATACAAACTTTACTTCCAAAAAAGTTGGGACAATAGGTAAAATGCTAATTTTACAAAAAGCAGTGATTAGTAAATTCTGTTTGACTTGTATTAAAGTGAAAACAGTACAACAAAACTTTTTTTTTTACCTTGAACTTAAAAATAGAAAATTTAGAACATGTATTCTCATTCTGACTTTGATGCCTGCAGCACGTTCCAAAGAAAGTTGGGACAGGAGTATGTTTACCACTGTGTTACATCATCTTTCCTTTTAAAAAAAAAAACCATAATAATCATTTAGAGACTGAAGACACCATTAAAAAAAAAATTGTGATCCTTCTGTGTACACATCTTCAGCTGCACGACCACACAGGTCCTTCATGTGGTTATTTGCGCTTCATAATGTGGCACACATTTTCTTTTGGAGACAGGTCTGGACTGCAGGCAGGCCAGTCTAGCACTCACACTCTCAGATTACATAGCTATGCTGTTATCACATGCAGAATGTGGCTTAGCGTCGTCATGTTGAAATGTTCATAGACAAAACAGCCGTTGTCTAGGAGGCAGCGTATGTTGCTCCAAAATGCGTGTGTCTTTCAGTGTTAGTGGTGCCTTCACAGATGTGCAAGTTACCCATGCAACAAGCAATACACACCCATACGAAGACAGATGCTGGCTTTTGAGCTTTACGCTGGTGAAAGTCTGGATATTCCTTTTCTTCTTTGGCCCGGAGAACATGACAACCCCTATTTCCATAAAAATTTGAAATGGTGTCTTGTGAAACCACAAAACAGGCTTCCATTTCATATGAACTTGGGCCAGCTCCAGCTAACTAACTAATTTATTAAGTTCCTGATTGGCTAGATCAGATGTGTTAGTGTTTAGTAGGGCAGCATGTTAGATGCAGGTTGGAACTAATCTCTGCACAGGAAAGTACAGTAAGGAGGACAGTTGATATATGGCTTCATCTGCCCATAATACTGTCTTAACTTGCATTTGTGAATACAGTGACAAACAGTGTTTATTGACAGTGGTTTTCAAAGTATTCCTGAGCCCGTACAGCGATGTCCATCACGGAAACATGCCAATTTTTAATGCAGTGCTTTCTGAGGGATCAAAGGATCATGGACATTCATTTATGTTTTTCGCCCTTGCCCTTTAAGGACCGAGATTTCTCCAGATTCCCTGAATCTTTTGATGATATAATGTACAGTGGTGAAATACCTAAAATCTTTGCAATTACTCATTGAGGAATGTTGCTCTTTAACTGTTGTGTTATTCGCTGACACACTTTTAGCAAAGTGGTGTGCCTTGACCCATGCTTGCTCATAAAGGACTTTCCTGGATGCTACTTTATACCAGATTGCCCCACCTGTTTAAGATGTTTTTTGACATTTGACAACATGCCTGGTCTTAAATTGCTCGTCCCAACGTTTTTGGAACGTATTTGGCATCAATTTCAGAATAAGCATATATTAGATTTTTTTTCATTTAAATACAAAGTTGATTTATAAATCACTGCTTTTCTGTCCCAACATTTTTGAAATTCTGTTATGAGCTATATTATCCATGGTAATTGACCATACGACACAGATATGGCTGATAGAGATTAGGTTGAATAATAGAGTATTCCTTTAAGTTAATCAGTTGCATGTGCATGACTTGTAACAGTCCATGTAACCCTTATTTTCGATAAACAATGTTTCTGTCATGTACCAACACAATAAGCTGTCTATCTCTCTTTTGTCAAGCTCAGTGCATGGATTTCACCTAGCTAGCTGCATGTTTTACTGATGCATGGATCTCTTGTGTTGCCATCCTTCCTCCCCTCGCTCTTCAAAAGGCATGATTGGTAGCTACCGGCCGCCCATGCTGCCACGGCCAGGTCCCGTTGATGGGATTGTTAGTATGGCTGGCATGCCGCCACATCACATGGGGGTGCCTGTCTTACCCCACCACCTCCTGCAGGGCATGCCTGGGCTGCCAGGCATGCTTTACCCGGGTAAGGACAGCTCCACAGCTACATGCCCCCCCCCCACCACCTCTGCAGTTGCTTCCTGTCTGCCTCTCTAACTCAAACTGGAGGGGCTACCTGTACCATAGGTTCAGGGGCTTGCACTAACCTGCCGATGAAAACTGGATTGAAGAAGAGAGATGTGGTGTTGTTTCATAAACACTTTGCTTTTGTTGTAAGAAGTAACACCACGTTTGAGAACAATGGATACTCCATTTTTAATGTAATGTATCTAATTATCTTATTATCAGTCCAATCTAATTATCAACTGTGATGTATAATCCAGTAAACTAAGCCAGACTAAACATTCTTATTCTTATTAACAGTAACAGAATAAGCATTTAGTAGTCTAACTGTAGCTGCCATGTTACGGTGCATATGCTAGTGGTAATTTCTCACTAAACAAAAGAGTACAGACTTGTATAGAAAGGCCTCAGTGTATCACTTAACCGTTGGTTGTCCGGTGACTCACAACTTAGTCTGTACTCTCATTGTGTGCTGCGACTGCTTTCACAGGTATGAATGGAATGGCTCCTGGGACTGCAGGAACCCCGTATGGAGCTCAGGTAATGTAGAACGGAAATGCAGTTGTTGCTAATGCCCTTCAAAGCAATAATGCAGAAGTCAGACACCACTCAACGTTTATATTATTTCCAGCCATTAAGTACTTAATTTTTCATAAGCTGATCATTTTTCATGGGATATCATTGAGGAGATTAAATAATCAGGGTGCATAAAAAAGTGAAAGTCAAAAGAAAATAAGTGAAAAATCCAGAGTTTCCAAAACTGAAGTTCAAAAAATCATTAAAAGGTACAGAGAAAATGGGGCTCTTAACAGAGATGCAAGACCTTGTAGACCACCAAAACTGTCACCATCAGATAAACAGCATTTAAAGCTTTCATCTTTGAGAGAGAGCAGAAAATCAAGCTCCACTCTTGCTACAGATGTGACAAAATCCACAGGTGCTTCTGTCCATCCTTCCACTGTGAGGAGACAAATCAACACTATGGGTCTGAAAAAAGGAAATAGACAAAAAAGAAGTAAATCTTTACTAGAACACTGCAACTGCACAGAGCCCGGACCTTGACATCAGGGAAAATGTTTGGGATTACTTGAATCATGAGAAGTAGAAAATCCAACCAGCTTCTAAGACTGAACTTGGGAGTTGTTCACATGAAGCATGGAAGAATATCCTTGCTGATTTCTTTGAAAAACTAAAGAGAGTCTCCTGAAAAGAATAGAAGCTGTAATAAAGGCAAAAGTGTGGACACACTAAATACTGAATATTGATATTGTATATAGTTGTTGAAGCTTCTGTGTAATTAGTAAATTAATTTTAAATAATTGAATTAAATAGTTCTGTGATATTTGTACAGTACGGTAAATCAACACACACTTCCCTCAAACCACGTAACATTGTCAAGTAATCTCAAATAGACCTGCTTATGTACTTTCTGACACATTATGATATACTGTGATATACAACAATGGACAAAAGTACATTGCATAGCTAAAAACAATGAAGCATGAATTTTGTTTATACTTTGGTCCATTTTTATAGAAATCAGTATGTCCCATCAGTGTAGCTGCATTGTCCTCATAGCTCCAGTACAACACTAAGAAGCAAAAAAACACCAGATGTATCTCGGGGGATTCACTATATTTGGGTTAAGCTGAAAAATGTATACATTTGATGTTTGTCTGAAACATCACTTAAAAGCTCCAGTCAGTAAACTAATAAAATTAGTTATTGTATATATGAGGTCAGCATAAAAAGAGGACTGGCATACAAGAAGAAAACCTGCTACTGATGACACAGGCATCTTTCGGATCCTGACACACCCACTTCTGCTAGTACTTGTTGCATCTCTCTGTGTTAAGCCACATGTGTGTCTCTGTAGGTGGGTGTGATGGGTCCCAATCAGCAGGCACCACCACCCTACCCCGGGCAGGGGCAGGTGGGGCAGCCTGCCCTCCAGCAGCCGTCCACTCCTATATTTGTGGCTCCACCACCCAAACCACAAAGACTCCTGCACTCAGAGACCTACCTGAGGTACATAGAAGGACTGAATTCAGAGTCTTCTACTGTCAGCAAATGGGACCAGACACTCTCAGGTGAGCCTCACAATATTTTCAACCCTTTCTTCAATACACTGTAAAGGTATGCCCCTAAAGAAGTGGTGTGTTCAGATGGTCCCTGTGTATTTCTGAGGTCACCACAAAGAAGATGGATAACAAAAGTCTTAAAACAACAAGTGGTGAAAGTGGGTTCCATATTACCCAAGTTTATGACTTATCATCAACTAGAAAAAAAATAGGTCTATCTCAGGCTCATATATATTGTTCATAGGATACTTCAGATCAATCTGAAATAAAAATGAACCTTTTTTTCCACCTTGTTAATAATATCCGTGGTCATGTTAAGCACAATTTATATATCATTTAAAAGACATAATTCTTGTTTTCCTGTAAAAGTGTAGTGGCTTTTGTGACCCATTGGGAGACAGGTCTGGACTGAAGACAGGCCAATCTAGCACCAATACTCTGATTATGCAGCCATTCTGTTATCACATGCAGAATATCTAAGCATTGTCATATTGAAATAAGCATAGATGAAAAAGATGTTGTCTAGAAGGCAGCATATGTTGCTCCAAAGATGTGTATATATCTTCCAGCGTTTCGTCTTCACAGATGTACAGGTTACCCATGCCACACCTCCATAGCATGACAGACCCTGGCTTTTGAACTTTATGCTGGCAACAATCTGGATGCTCATTTTCTTCTTTGGCCCTGAGATATTTCCATAAACAGTCTAAAAGTTGACTCGTCAGACCACATAAACTTTTCCACTGTGCATCAGTCCATTTCAGATGAGCTTAAGCCCAGAGAAGTCGGCTATGTTTCTAGATGTTGTTACATGTATTGTTCAAAAATCCTTTTTTTATCTTGTTAATTCTTGTCCGTGGTCATATTAAGCATGATATTTATCATATAATATCAAAAGACAAAATTCTTGTTTTCCTATAATCTTCCATTGAAATGTAGTGATTTCTGCCCACCTTTTGGCTACGTAACCATGCACCAGGGGACAGGGATAAATAATATTAACCAATATCATCCAACAATTGCCCCTGTCATGGAGTGTGTTTCACTCTGTGTATGGTGTGGAAAGAAAATACACTATGATCTCAGAATCATGATGACTTTAACCAGTTGCCAATGACCACCAACTGGTAGTTACAGTTTGATGACGTCTGTTTTCAGAATTTATGAGGACTGTCCGAATACACCGTAGGTGCACAGCTTCTGTGTGGTTTTATTCCAGATGTTAAATAACATCAGCTGATTTTGCTGATAAGGCCACCTTCCTTACATTGAATAGAACTTAATCAATGCAATCAGGTGTCGCGATACATAGTTTGAGTAAATAGCTGTAAGCACTGCAGCTCTTGAAGGACTGTTTTGAGTCAGTAGGTATCTCAGTTTTAGGTACTGAATTGATAAAGCTGTGTCTTTTTTTTATCTCAGCTCGTAGGAAAGATGTACGCCTTACAAAAGAACAGGAAAGCAGACTTCCCTCTCATTGGCTGAAGAGCAAGGGGGCTCACACCACTATGGTTGATGCTCTGTGGAGACTGAGAGACCTGATGCTGAAAGATACTCTGAACATTCGGCACACTTACAATATTCAAAACATCTAATGTAAAGATATCAAAAGTCAGTAATGTTAGAGCTACAGGACCACACAGTTTAGCATTTTCCCGGCTCCAACGCCCCGATTTGATTCACAAAGCTTTACAATTTGCTGGATTTGAATTGGAGTTGAATCAAATGTTTTAAATGAAGACAACACTAAACTGTGCCTCCAAGGACTGGTGTGTGACACCACTGATCTAAACCATTCCTCTTCAATCTCTAATACATGTATCACGTGTTGGGTTTTAATGTGTGATTTTGTAAAATGTTAAGTGTAGTCTGTTGACTTTGTTAGTGTTCATGGAATTTCATAGCACTTTGAATGCGTTTGCATTTTAGTTTGTAATTAACTGTTGCTCTAAGATAGAAAAAAAAAACATTTTCATAAAATGTTGTAAAACTTCACCTGTCAATGCCTTCATTACCTGTCTATCTTCATTAGTCTTAAGATTGTTTGAAATTAGTTAGGTGAATGAAAGCAAGTTAAAAAGTGTTCAGTGTAGCCTGTGGGCAATTTTTCATATGAAGTGGCAATTTTCATATCTTCTCATTTTGGTTAACTGTAAAGCATTTCAGAACAAATAGCATTTGCTGCTGGCTTAGTGTTTCAATAAACTGCCATTCACAGTACTTCTTGAGTTTTTATTTTATCAAAGTTAATATGTGAACAATTACACTAGTCTTAAGCTGGGAGAGAAAAAACATGGTAAGTCACTTCATGGCTAAATGATATATGGAAATTTAAGAACCTTGCTTTTATATATATATATATATATATATATATATATATATATATATATATATATATATATATATATATATATATATATTGCAAGAAAACACAGCTTTGAACAGCTGTACACACATAAAATCATAATACCGTTCATTAAAATAAATGTATTGTAATAAGTAATTACAAAAGATTTTTACTTCAAAACAATGGGATCTAATTCCTCACCATGTGGCCATGAGAGACAGGGATGCAGTTTCATTTCCTGCTGTAAAATGCAGGGTGTGGCTGAAAAAATAAGATATTAAAAGAAAAAAACACAATGTAAAAGTATTATTTTCTCAAGTTTAAATTTAGGAGTTAGGGTTTAGGACAGCCACCACCCAATAGAAAGTATTCCTCCATTCCTCCAAGAAGATGGTGCAATCAAAGTGCTAGACAATACAATATACACAGTGCAGACAATACAGTGCACTAAGTATGAAAAAAAATACATACAAAACAGAACACAGACAGTACATTGTACTGAGGAATATGTGGAGTTGTGCAAAGGTAGATGTAAAATGCTACGACATATTAGCAGATTAGTGGACAGCCTAGCGTATATGAGCAAAGCAATCAGAGGTAGCAGCCAGAACATCAATGGAATACAGTATTCTTACAGCCAATATTGTTAAATAAGTCAAATGTCTGGGGTTTTTTGAGGACATATACATTTTACATACACACACAATTTCTTTTTTTTTTGGTCTGATATATATATATATATATATATATATATATATATATATATATATATAGTTTTTAATTATATTCTTAGTGTTATACAACTTTGCAAATCTCATTATGGAACCCTGTAGTAGTCTATAGAGTGGTAGCATTATAATAAAATAAGAAATAAAATTTTAAAATAACGACCTTCCATGCTTTAAACATCTGAAAAGAAAAAGAACAGCTTTTTTTTTGACGGGCCCGCCATGCTGCCGTTGCGTCACTGCCTGCGAGACTGAACGAAGCGTCATCCTTCCAGCGGCGGCGGCGCTTCCTCCGCGTCCACATTCATTCACCCCAACGACTCGGGAATTTAGTTTAAATTTGAATGCAACATCGCTAAACAATGCAGAGAAGAGGAGCTGCTCTGCGTTTCTACCCCTGCCTTTTACTCGCCGTCGGCTGGCTGCTGTGCGGGGCTGCTGCTGACGGTTTGGTGAATGAAGAGGTGAAGCGCACCGTGGACCTCAGCACGCACCTCGCTAAGATCTCCACGGAGATCCTGCTGGCGAACCAGGGCGGCTCACCTGTTCAGAGCTTCACTCTGGCTTTGGAGCCGGAGCTCGGGCCTCACCTGGCTTACATCGGGGCCTCTGTGAGTAACGTTAACCTGAGCAGAAACAGCTTAGCGAGTTAGCTTAGCTTGGTGAAAGGGGCGGACATGCAAGGAGGACGAGGCTGGAGTTAGCTTCCTGCTCGAGCTTTCCGTTCCACCTTAAATGGTACAGCGGTTAACTACGTTCCGGCGCCTGAGAAGCTGGAAGTGCTGCACTATTTAAGGTGGAACGGAAAATTCGGATAGAAAGCTAGCTTCAGCCTCGTCCTCTTTAAGGTTACCTTGCACATTTCTTAGTGCACTTATAATGGCATCATATTCAGCCACATTAATGTAAATGTATGTGAAATGTGAAGTAAATAAATAAGCAATCTGTGCTCGTATTTGTATTTGTGGCAGTGAGCTGCTAGCATTAGCATCTCTCATTCATGGGCATTAGCTTTAACTAACGCTGCTCAGACTTAGCTAGTTAGTTATCTTGCAGATTCCTTCAGTACTGGTCGCATAGAGTGAGTAATATCTTAAATGTATAGTGGTTTACATGGCTGAATTGAAAACCTGTAAATTATCAGTGTATGGATATTATTTAGTGGTTTGGTATTTATGTTAGCGTTAGCTAGTTAGCGCATTTCTGCAGCTCTTCCGGCCTGTGCGCGGCTGCGGGACACGTCAGCGCTGCTTAAAGGAGGCACTTCCGTCTGTCCTGTCATACATTCTGCTGTTGTACAAACTGTATCTGTAAATTACACATTACTCCTTATTACATGTTTACTTTAAATGTAACTGTACCAACATGGTTGAGTAAATATATGGATTTGAGTCCCTTTTCAGTGCTGCTCCGTTTTTCATCATTGAAGTAAACCAAATATTAATCAGCCACAGCATTAAAACCACCTCCTTGTTTCAACACTCATTGTCCATTTTATCAACTTCACTTACTATATAGGTGCACTTTTCGTTCTACAATTACAGACTGTAGTCCATCTGCTTCTCTGCATACTTTGTTAGCCCCATTTTACCCTGTTCTTCAATGGTCAGGACCCCCACTGGATCATCACAGAGCAGGTATTACGTTGGCTCACTCCCACCACTGCAGTGACACTGAAGTGTGTGTTGCGATGGTACAAGTGGATCAGACACAGCAGTACTGCTGGATTTTTTAAACACTGTGTCCACTCACTGTCCACTCTATTAGACACTCCTACACTCTTGGTCTACCTTGAAGATGTGAAGTCAGAGACGATAGCTCATCTGTTGCTGCACAGTTTGTGTTGGTCATCCTCTAGTCCTTCATCAGTGATCACAGGATGCTGCCCACAGGACACTGTTGGCTGGATATTTTTGGTTGGTGGACGCCACCGTCATGTCACTGTCACTGCAGTGCTGAGAATGATCCACCACCAGTTAATAACTGCTCTGTGGTGGTCCTGGGGGGGGGAGATGTCCATCTGCATGCATAAAAATGTATGCAGATGGACTACAGTCTGTAATTGTAGAACTACAGAGTGCTTCTATAACGCCCCCCAGTCTAGAAATTGCTGTGGAATTGTATTCTCTAGAGCAGTGATCACCAACCCTGGTCCTGTAGATTTACCTTCCAGTGAAATCTAGTTCCAGCCACAATTTGGCACAACTGCCCTAGCTTATTAAATTCTTCAATAGTTGTCATTTGGCTGGATCAGATGCAGTAGTGTTAGATATGGGGAGGGGCAGCATGTTAGATGTAGATTGGATCTAAACTCTGTGGGAAAGTAGATCTCCAGGAAGAGGGTTGGTAACCACTGCTCCAGAGCGATGGAGCACCATCCAGTACTTTTGAGATGAGTTTGGAGTGGAATTTGTGATCCAGAACTAGTCGTTCAGTATCAGTACTTGACCTCACTGATGCTCTTGTAGCTGAATGCATTTAAAATTACAATTTTCTAACATCTAGTGTGAAGCGTAGAGAAGAGCCTGTTACCGCAGCCAATGGGGAACAGATTCACTACTGATACCATTGGGTTTCATGTTAGATGAGCAGGAGTCTACAAACCTTTTGACACATTGTGTATGTATGTTAGGCAAAAGGGAAGCACTAGTCCTAAAGTAGGACAAAAGCCCATGCAAATGAGTCACTGCTGATGTAACTGACATTGGGATCATAACAAACAGGTTTGGCCATTGTTTCTGCTGCACATTTGCAAAACAGAAATATGGCACTGGCAGTCAACATCTGTCCCATGTCGTACACAGGTGAAAGGTGAAGAAGAGGAGGATGAATCTCTGGAGTTGAAGGAGACTGCCGTCCATGGTCGGAGGTGAGCATCCATCATAGATGGCAGGAATGTCTTAAAGAACGGGGGAAAGTTGTCAGTTCACTTAGAAAGCATCTTAGTCAGTTGTACAACAAGTCTGTGTAATTCCTCAAAGCATTTTGCTTCAGAAGCAGGTTTCAGTCTGTGATTCTAAGACTGTTTCTATGTGTTAGGCTATATGCAAATCACTGTGTGTGATTCACCATAGTTCTCATATCTTCATCTTGCAGTCATTGTTCTGTTGTGTACTGAGGCTGCAAACTAATATTTATCATTCTTTCCTCTTTAATAGTTTAAAGAAAAGGTTCGGTTGACTGTTGGTTTCTAGTGTTTGTTAGCAATATTAGCCTCATAGGTCCTGCGCTGAACTAAAGAAGTAAAATTTGGACACCAAAAATGTAGAAAATTATGTGAATTTAATTTTGTGCTGAGCTCTTCCTTTAGCTACAGGATTGCCATACTGGCTCTCTTGATCCTCAGTCACCCTTCTCTTCCTCTTGCAGTGGAACGTTCTTCCAGGTGCAGCTGCCCTCTGCTCTTGCAGCAGGCGGAAAGCTGCGCGTTAAGGTTGAGACGATGCTGACCCACGTGCTACGCCCATTCCCCACTCACATCACCCAAGCTGAGAGGCAGCTGGTGGTTTTCCAGGGGAACCATTACCTGTACTCACCTTACCCCACCCGCAGCCAGAGCACCCGTGTGCGCCTGGCCTCCAAAACCGTGGAGAGTTACACCAAGCTGGGCAACCCCAGCAAAAATGATGAAGTGATTGAGTATGGTCCATTCAAGGATGTAGCTCCCTTCAGCCAGGTAAATGTGATGATGATGTGACATGATTTGATTTGGCAGATAAGCTGGTCGCAATTATGGTTCATTGTTAAATGACTGAAGAAGTTGCTGTTTGTATGTATTGCATGTTGCAAGCAAGTTTGCAAAGTTTAGTTTGCTTGGTCACAAAATAACTGAACTTAGTAGATAATTTCCAAAGCTGCGTTCGATAAATGTCAAAATGTCAAACTGTCTAACAACAAAAAAAAAAATAAAATAAAAATAGTGCTGCTGATTTGGAGAGAGCTACTGATTAGCATTAGCTTTGCTAGCGTGATAAAAGCTCTGCTCACCACAGAACATGTTCATACCTTATTACTGTTATGATGCCCAACCCTAATGGCCAGACCAGTTGTCTGAATGCAGATTAGCTGACACTTTATCCTAGAATTTTCATTGATAGATCAAATGTAGTTTTGAACTACATGCTGTGTTTGGAGATCCTGCTATGTTTTAGAGCGAAAGATTAGCTTACTATAGCTGGACTTACCTGTGTAATGTGGTCTGTGTTTCTTGTAGGACACTATGAAGATCCACTATGAGAACAACACCCCCTTCCTCACAATTAGCAGCATCACTCGCACCATTGAGGTTTCTCACTGGGGCAACATCGCTGTGGAGGAGACCATCGACCTGAGACACACTGGGGCTTACCTGAAGGGGCCTTTCTCCCGCTACGATTACCAGAGGCAGTCCGACAGCGGCATCTCATCTGTCAAGTCCTTCAAGGTATGCTGACAGTCTTTAAACAAAGACAAAAGTCTAAATATTTCAAAGCAATAGTTTGGCAACAAATCAGTTTTACACAATTTTCCCCTTACCCCATATGTAGTTGATCAGCCAAGACATGCTTGAGGTCCAGAGTTGCTTTTTCAGTTTTGTATTATGAGTTATGGGACTAATAAGGGGGGGTTATTAAGTGATCTCATATAGACTTGCTTGTATGGTTTTTGAGTAAGGTTAAACAACGTGATGAAATATCAAATTTTTACTTTTCTGACAAATATTGCGGTTGTTATTGAAATTTATATTTTTAAGCTTCAGACCTCCCCCAAGAAAACCAGCAAGATTTGTCAGTGTGTCAGGCTGCCAGTTTACAAGCTTTGTGTTATTAGTTTACATTTCCCTACTTAAAACTTAAGGCCACATTAAATAAAACACTATATAATTAAAACTGCTCTTTCAAGTTGTGATATAAAAACAATTCACTGTTCAGCACTATGTGTGACAGAGTATGACCTACTATTATAACATGGTCAAAATGTTTGCTTCAAATTATTAATCTGGTTATAGAAGCCTTCTGTTTAAGACCCATTAGTCTGAGCTGGAATTCAGATGACATTAGGTATGGTCTTGGATCATAAACAGTGCCGTTGATCACTTATTATTTCAATACAATACAATAATAACAATACTTTTCCTTGCTCTCCATCACAAACCAGATGTGATTGCTTTTCATCCTCTACAACTAATGTCTCGTGTTTCTTCTCCCCACAGACTATCCTCCCTGCCTCTGCCCAGGATGTCTACTATCGTGATGAGATCGGCAACATCTCCACCTCTCACCTGCAGGTTCTGGAAGATTCCGTTGAGGTTGAAGTCCGTCCGCGCTTTCCCCTATTTGGAGGCTGGAAGACCCACTACATCATTGGCTACAATCTGCCCAGCTACGAGTATCTCTATACCTTAGGTGCGTCCCACCAGATGTTTTACTTTTAACAAAAGAAAACCAAAAAACACTAATAATGCTATTTTTAAATGCCTTGGTATTTAACAGTTCTAATGAAGTTAAGCTTGTGCTAACTGGTCCCTATTAGTTCTTGATCATTGTATGTCTTATTTGTCATATTGTCACATTTGGGAATTATTTGTTTCTATACATTTTACAAAGTTTTATTGCAGTATTTGAAAGAGAATTAATGTGTTTTTGTTCCACAGGTGATCAGTATGCACTGAAAATGCGACTCATTGATCACGTTTATGATGACCAAGTTATTGACCACATGACTGTGAAAGTGATTCTTCCAGAGGGAGCCAGGTATCAGACCCCAACATTTCTAATGCAGTCTCTTGAGATCTCCCAGTTAGTCCATGATTTTAATCTATACCACCAACACTAATTACCTGGTTCAGGTGTTTTAAGAGCTTCATTAAAACAAAAGTATGGACTGGCAAGGCATTGCCTCAGACAATATTAATTTAATCTATATTGATCTGTTTTTATTGTTATGCATTATTACAGTCTTATTTACACATCAGTAAGTTTCACATACTCTTCCTTATTTCTTCAGGAATGTCCATTTGGACACTCCATACACCATCGACCGTAGCCCTGACCAACTGCACTACACCTACCTGGACACATTCGGCAGGCCTGTGCTGGTGGCCACCAAGAATAACCTGGTGGAGCAGCACATTCAGGACATGGTGGTAAGATGTTCAGTATTAAATATTAAGCTAGGCATAAAAACTGATGGAACTACCATATCAGCTTTATGCTGCTTTGCTGTGAGTCTTGTTATAGTCTTTGCATGCTGGTAATGTAACACCCATGATCATATAATGATTTATGTGTTCAAGCATTTATCTGCATTTCATTTGTGTACATGATTCCAGGTTCACTACACCTTCAACAAGATTCTGATGCTGCAAGAGCCTTTGCTGGTGGTTGGAGCTTTCTACATCCTGTTCTTTACTGTCATCATTTATGTGCGCCTCGACTTCTCCATCACCAAGGTACAGCTGCAGACATTTTCCTGAATAGAAACTTATTGCAGATACTGCCCAAATAGAAACTTGGCAGATACTACAGACATATGCAAAAGTTTGGGTGCCCCACTCAAATGACATGTTTTGTTGATTTTCTTAGTGAATTTCAGTGAACACATTTTAATGCACAATCTCTTTATTTGCTGTTTATTTTATTTCATTTTATATTAAATCCCAATATGTTAAAATCGGCAAAAAAAATCAGTTGTGCACTTAAATATTTGAGTTGAGGATATGTTAATTTCTTTTCACTTAGAAGATTCATAAAACCTGTAATTTGTGTAAAACAGCCTAGTAGCCCAACATCGAATAAACCATCAGTTCCTTTGAAATACAGTGAATGCATCATCAAATATTGGTATGAAACATTTGTGAAATTCAATCCTCTGTCCAATCCAGATTTTTTTTAACAATTATTTGCTGATAAATGATTCAGCAAGTATGTATGATTCTGACAAGTGTTATTCTGACAATCATGCATCCCTATATACTATCTCCATCCCAGTTGTGGACCCTCATAGCTGCACATTTTTGTGTTTTCTTAACATACCTGACAGAATTCAACATGTTTTTAAACTCTTCATGAGCCTAGTTAAATGTGTTACAGCTGGAAAAAGAGATAAAGTGTGCAGTGCATGGGGTCTCAGGACTAGCACAGAGAACCACTGTGGTACCTTCTGTAATAAATACCTACTACATATGCCCCCTTGATACAAATCTACTGCAGGTGGTGTTTCCTCTCATACCAAATATATCTCCTACTGATATAAACTTACTTCAGATCTCTGTCTGATACAAAGGTAATGTAGAGGCTTTATCTACTCTGATAAAAGCCAACTGCAGATATCTGCCAGAGATACACCTGTAGATATTCTTTTGAGCGAAATAACATATTGCAGACATCACTCCCTTTTCCAAATGTACTGTTTTTGACCTTTGATGCAAAGTTGCTGAAGCTATCTGAAGACTAAAGACAAAGCAGATCTGCACTGCCCTCTCTCACATTGTATTTTTTTTTTCTTCTCTTCCCAGGACCCGGCCGCAGAGGTGCGGATGAAGGTGGCCTCAATCACAGAGCAGGTCCTGACCCTGGTCAATAAGAGGCTGGGACTGTACAGGCAAATGGATGAAGTGGTGAACCGCTACAAGCAGTCCCGTGACACTGGAGCCCTCAACAGCGGCCGCAAGACTCTAGAGGCTGAACATCGCACTCTCACCAACGACATCGCAGCCCTGCAGGCCCGGCTCAAAGCTGAGGGCTCCGATCTGGCCGAGAAGGTACGACCAGCTCAGTTTTTTGAATGACAAGAAGTGACTTAAATCTTCATGGTTAAGTTTTAAAGAAATGCCTCATTAAGAAAAGCTGACGTTGCCTGTGTTGAATGACCGTCTAGTAATTGCTATGTTGATCGTCTTGTGGAACTTTGATATTAAGCAGCTGAAATGTTTAGAAACCAATTTGCTGAGTAGGACAGTTGTTGGAGTGAACTGACAGTTATATGTAACTAGTAACTGAAATAAAAAATGCAAGTTTAAAGAGTTTTCTCTTTACCCCAAATGTAATCAATCAGCCAAGACATGTTTGGTGTCCCAAGTTTGCTTCTTGAGTTTTGCACTCAAGCTAAGAAACTAATATAGCTAACATGTAATAGAACTGTATACCCCACCAATTAGCATCTTGCAAACTGCATGCCCAAATCTCACTCTTGCCTCATACAGTATAGACTTCCTTATGTACTTTCTGAAACTGTATGTCACACTGTTGTCTATAAAATGTGACAAAAGTGTGGGTTAGGGCTAGGGTTCAAGATGACTGCTGCAACTGTTTTTAGCTATGCAATATACTTTGTCCATTTTTAAAGATTGTTAGCTACATTCGTCTCGTTGCTCCAGTACAGAACAAAAGAAGAAAACATGTCTTTGCTGATCAGGAAAAACTGTAAATTTCATTTTCTTTCCCCAAACTATTTCTTTAAAGTGGAATTCCAACATTGTTTCAAAATTTATGTATTTCAGTCATTTAAGATGTAATCAAAGTTATTCAGGGTGCTTTTGCATGAAATTCATGTCAAGTTAATGCAGAGAAACTTACCTACTTACCAGCTGATAATGGTAAATAGCGGTAGATTAACTGAGCATTGTTGATGTTTCTCTTACAGGTGGGGGAGATCCAGAAGCTAGATGGCCAGGTGAAGGAGCTGGTCAACCAGTCCTGTCAGGAATCGGAGCGGCTGGTGGCTGGGAAGGTGAAGAAGGAGACTTACATCACATCGGAGAAAACGCTGGCTAGCAAGAGGCAGGAGCTCATTTCACGCATTGACAGCCTCCTCGATGCTCTGTAAAACGCACCACTCATACACTTATATGCTGACCATTAGTCAGGCCAACTACAACTATGACCTGACCCCTTTCACACACGCACTGGCACACACTCGGTGTTGAGTCTTCTTGCACATTTAAGTGAGCACACTCAGCCACCTTGAAGTGTGTGCGCTGTGCCCCCTTCAACCTCTAGCCTGTGTGAGAGGGCTTCTCAGAGTGTGCTAGAGATACCCAATTTGTCATACATTGAGATTTACTTTTGATTTTTGGTTTTCTGATTGCAAGGCAGCAGGCTTCAGTCTTTCAGGATTTGTTAGCATTTCATGCCCAGCTCCCTTGTTCTCCGTTTTTCATGTGTGGGGTTTAGAGTGTGGGTAAGGGCAGGTTAATGTGTTTCGCAGACATTGTCACCTATACCAACGTTCTTTGCCTTTTTGTCTGTGTCCTTGGCACTTAGTTTATGGGGGAAAAATTCTATACCCTGCCCTGAAACAAATGCAGAAATACTGAATCTCTGAAGATGCAAGATGGTCTGTCACCATCATCAAAATTTCTCCCCCACATTTTCTGTTGGATTGTTTTTCTTACATTTTTGTATGATTTTCACTTTTTGTAAATGATATGCTGTCAGTACCATGAGATTGTGTGTGGGGGCAGAGGGAAATGGAAAATGTTGACAACCTCCTCCAGTATCAGAAGTTCAAAACTGATATTAAACGCGGTGTTATAAACGGCTGTGTGGTTTCTTCTGTTGTCACAAAAAGGTTCTTCTACATGCACTACAGAATTTTCCACCCTTACTCCGAATGTAGTCAGTCAAGATGTTTTGTGTCCTAAGTTTGTGTCTTTAGTTTTGTGGCTGTGAGGCTAATGTAAGTAACAAGTAATGGATGGCTAACGATGTTAGCATCATACCTCCACTGCAAAACTGACAGTGTACAAATGGCTGACTGGCTGCAGTTTGGGTAAGAGGAATTGTGTTTGCTTTAATAATGACCCATTTCTTCAGCTGACAGTTTTTGCCAAAAGTGACTCGCATGATAAGCTTCCATGGACACTACACTTAAACAAAACACCATTAGTAGGACACAATGCTCTGCGGTGCCAAAACTGATTTCATTGACATTATCTGGCCAACATTGGCACAGAACTGGCGATAATGTCACATTGCCACAATTTGTTTAAGCCTGCTTACTATCACCACAGGGAGGCGCCAATGTGTCACTGAAGTCAAGGTTACCACATCAGAGTGCCATATCATAAAATTGCTTGGTTACCACTGTTAGAGGCGAATTTAGTGATTCTGGGTCTCCAGGCAAAACGCAGGAATGGAGTCCCTGGATGCACATTTTTAAATGAATTGGCTTCCGAGTGGCGCAAACGTCTACGCTGTAAAAAATATCTTGTCAAGTGAAATCTTAAATCTATATAATCTATATATCTAATGATTCTCATTTTGGAATTGCTACAAGAATATACAATTATAAATTTAAAGGGCCTAAAGTCTATTTTTCTTGTATTTTATTTTTGTTCTTGGTCCATTTTTGACATTTGTGTGGGTTTAGGTACCAAAAGAGTCAATTCATTTTTACATGACCTTATGATATTAAACAGGCTGCCTTTTTTACTGTGTCTTTTACAAGTAATATGTAAATAATCTGTTCTGGTGCGCTGCCTTGTTTTGCACATCATTCAAAAACAGTTCAGGCTGAAACACTTTTTATAACTTCGGTGTGAACGGATGTGTCAAAATGTTTTTTCATGACATCACAGTAACGATGATTTCAAAATGGGCTGTTTTTGAAGCTTAGTTTCCATATATGCTCTGTGTAGACAGTTTATTTTAAAACTTTGGAAACAATGTTGACACTACATTTATCTCCTTTATTAAAAAAAAAGGAAAAATTAGTTTTCCATGGCATGAGCTCTTTAAATACAGTGAGACCATTTATGTTAATAAAATTACTGAAATAAATATATAATATAATATAATAACTACCACTACTAATATAAGTGTACAGTGCAGCTATTTTTAAGAAGAAACACATTTATAAGCCACAAATGAACATGAAATATGACTATGAGTATCTGGCTCTGGTCATTTCAAGTGGGCTAAATTAAACAACGTGCAAAAGAGAAGGATAGTGCTCTGTCTGGAAATAGTGCCTGATATTTGTACAAGAATTACTTTACCAGCACTAGATTACATTGATAACCTTGGTGTGATTCGGTCCAGGTCTGCATTAGTTGAAACACATTAACCCATTAATGCCATATGAATATTTAAATTTGGTTAATATGTTCTCTGGCCTGAGCACAAATCGATTTGTGCCATTTAGATAAAAAGTGAGTTTGTCGCTTATATTCAGTCTGTTGTTCACATGGGAAACTTTTGAAAAAAACAATAGAATATCCTAATTTGTGTATAAAAGAATGAGGATTATGCAAAAAATCAGTTGGATACTATTTATACCACAGATTTTTAATCTGTGGTATACTATACTATGTTAGACTATTTAGATTATGTTTTGTGGTGTTTTACCTTATAATGCTCAAAGGTACTTTCCATGAATAGAGTTCAGTTTATGTCCCATTACCTTTTTAAAAGCAACAAAGTGACTTGTTTTTGTTATTTCTGTAAACAAATTGAACTTAGCTGCACTTTAACTTAAAACAAATATATTATTATCAGCATTTGAATGATCACAAAAACACTTAAAATGTCTTTTCCACCTTTAAATGGTGTTTTTGTGCTATCCCACCTCACTTCTCTTAAACCTCTCTATGAAACATGTTCATTAAAATCTTCTAGTAACACCATATTAAAATTTTATTTGGTTAATTTCCAAGCAATTTAATGTTAAAGAATGATTTTTTTTCCTAATACTGTATTTAATCTAACAAAATAAGGTAATTTTAACCCGTGTCCTACATTTTCTGTGAAGTCTTGTTACCCAAACCTGTTTCCCTGTGAATAAGTGGAACAATTTATTTTTTATTATATACAGGAAGTTGCGTCATCTTGTTTTCTGCAGAATGACCTTCAGACAAGTCAGTATTCTCATTCTATTTTCTCAATTTACACACAAAAAAATGATTTGGCTGCATAAAGCTTGATCATTCAACCCTGATACCAATTATTGTTAGAAAAAGAATATATATTTATATATATATTGTTTTATTTATGTAAATTACGTGGTTATTAGTAGTTAGTATTCAACATGCTAGCTTATTTCACAAACCTGTTACTTGCAACCCTGTTACCTTTGATTATTTAAAATGAGAATGAAATAGAAATGGCTTGAAACAAAGATTTTAATGAAAACATTTTCATTAAAACAAATTTTGAATTTTATCCCTTTTGCTCTATGTTGTATACTTTATGTTTTTACTACATTACTATCAACTAAATGAGGAATATGATGTGTTTAACCCTTTTACTCGCTTCAACCCTGTTATTCAGCCATTTATGGTGAAAACAGCTCATATAGTGGGAGCCTGAGGTCAGACAATAACAATTTCTGAAGGTTAAGCCGTCAATTTGATTAATACTTTGCCAAAAACACCAAAGAAAAAAGTACATTTTTAAAGAGTTTTGGGTTACAAAATGAATTCTATTCATAGAAAGTGTTAAATGCAGTTGTTGGACGTGAAAGAGTTAAGGTTATAAAGAGCTCCTCCAGTTCCCGCCATTTCAGTCCTGAGCTAAAAAAAGCAAGATAAATCTGAGGTAACTCTAAAGTTACATTTTGAGCCCAATGTGAAGAGCAGACGGGCCTGCAGCAGACAGGAGGCCAGGCTGAGGTCTGGAGGTCATCTCGGGGTCACGCCTAGCTCGTTTCCTGAGCCAAAATAACAAGCGCTGCTCTCGTGTCCACGATAAGGCGGCCATATTGTACGCGCCATACAATGTTCATTCTGAAAGTACACACTGGAGGGAAACCGAGACAATGTCCATCAGCGCCGATGCATGGGGTGTCGAGAAGGCACAATAGTGCAGAGTGTGGGTGTTTAGGCTGGGAAACCGTGCAAAACTTTCATTCTCACACATCTGCAGAGAAAGTGAGATGAAGTCAGAATGGCTTTTGTTGAGAAGGCATATGTAAGGGCTTTAGATTCACAAATGGACAAACAGTGGGAGTATTTCTACTTCTCCAGTGAAAGAACGACATGACTGACAGCTGCCCATCGATTCAAATCAGCAAACGCGCCTCCATTTTGTCCATTTCCAAAATGTGTAGTGTAGGACAAACATGTTCTAACATAACATGGTTTTCACAAGTCGAGGAACAGAGAAAGCATAAAATCGTGCTTGAGCGCAAACATAACGCTGCTGACGGACGTTATGTCCATTTTTGTCGTTTTTCAGTTTTTGACATAATTTGAAACTACCTACTGTCCTTTATATTGTATGTAAATCCCAAGATGAATGGACCAAAAGAAATGTCCCAAAATTACTTGGAAAAATGTCTGGTTCCATTGACTTTCATTAAAAGTAAAGTATGTTTTTCCTTCTCCTGTAAAGTTACCATTTTGGAGTTACAAGGTTTTGTTCCGACAGCAGCGAAATGTTACTAGAAGAAATAATGAGTACACAGGGTGAAAAAACAGCATGCATTCCATGCTGGTTTAAGCTGGTCTATGCTGCTTCATGCTTGTTGAGTGCTGGTTTAGCTGGTTGACCAGCATACCAGCATCAAATACACAATACTGGTTTTGCTGGTGATCAGCCTAATAATTTCCACTGCTGCTGGCCAAAAAACCAGTATTCAAAACACAGTAGATGGTGGTTTTGCTGGTCTACGCTGGTTTAGCCAGGCTCTCAAAGGTATGTGGAGTCCTTGTTTTATATCGAATCAGCATATAAGTTTCAATATTGTTGAAAGCACATAGTGAAGAACTTTTGGTCCAAAAGTGGTTTAAATGGCAGTCAGTGAAACCGGTTAGACAAGCAGATGATTTCAGCCATGTTCAACTGGAAATAAGCAGAAAATTCGTAGAGCTCTGTGACCTTATGAAGGCGCTTATGAAGGCTTATAACAGAATTAGGCAAACATAAAATAAAACAGAATATTTCAGTGAACAGTCAGAGGTAGAAACAGTCATAGAAGTCATTTTGAGTATGCACTACACTGAAATGTTTAATGGAGAGAGAAACCTTTATATAAGTAGTCTTTGTTCATCTGGTCATGCTGTATTAGCGCCAAGCTGACACGTTAGCATTAGCACTTTTTAAAAATATAGTTTCTCTTATATTACTCTTGATATTGCTCTGTTTATATCAGTAACACTTTATTTGGAGTGGTCCTTTGTAGATGATTAATAAACCCTTAACAGATTATCAGCAACACATGAACAACATAAAAGTGAAGTAGCAGTAGTGACGCACCTGAATACACTGAAGTGAAGTGAACATCTTGTAGATGTTCTGTTGATACATTACTTACATTAAGTAGATGTGTTGGTCATATGTTACTTCCATTATGCAAAACTTAACCTTACCCAACCTTACCCAAAACCTAACCCTCACCCTGGCCCTAATCCTAACCCTAACCTTGATATCAACCCAAAATCAAACTCTAACCCTGGTCGTAATCCTAATCCTAACCTTAACCTCAATCCAAAACCTAATCCTACCCCTCACCCTGGACTTAATCCTAACACTAACCTTAACCTCAATCCAAAACTTAATCCTAACCCTCACCCTGGCCCTAATCCTAACCTTAACCTT